GCTTCTGACAAAACGTTTTGAAACTGTTTGCGCCCAAATCGAAAGTGCACATACTGGGCCCGGAGCGACGTCTCCTCAGTTGTAGGAACGCCTCTAGGGGTTTCCGAGATTCCACTTACCCGGGACGTCCAACCTTAATGAGGTGCGAACGCTCGCGCGTGCTTTCAAAGCTTGCGCGCTCATCGCGCAGTCCGCGCTCTATTCACCGCGGTCGGTGACAGGCCTGGCTCGAGGAATGCATACCGTGCACGCACTGCGTCGTACAGCTTAATAAGCGGATTGGGCGTAGGATGCCCATCAGGCCGGGTCTAAGAGTGTTCAAGTTTCAGCCTGTAAAAGCACATGCACGTGTATGGGCTCCATCGACGTGCGATCCTGTCCTGGTAATCATGAATCAGATGAAGTTAGGTTCTTGTGCGGATCTGGCCATGTCCATCGTATCGAGCTTTCTGGCGATGCTTTTTTCGAAGTTCGGCTCAACGAGTCCGAGTTATCTCATGCGTGCCGGCGGTTGCCGCCTCGAAAGATTCATCAAGTCACCAAGTGGGAGAAGTGTCTACTTTCGTCGAGCCTCAAGCTTAAAGGTGTCTGACTCTGTTTGTTTTAACAGATTACTATAGACAAGCCAGCGGGTCACGTTCAAGTTGCAGCAAGCCAGACTAAGTCGACCTTGCAACATATAGCGTACTATAAGTTCTGATGAGTAATTTGACGTTATTGGTGTACCTTGAACCTGGTCGTTCAGTTCTGCTCCCCCTTTTTTCTTCTCCTTTACGGAGGAGTAGTATTCAACATGCAGTCGGGGAAGTGAGGACCGCCCAGCATCTGAGACGCACCAGCTGACATCTGCTTCTGCGCTGACGTCCGCTGTCTCATGTGGCCTGGATGCACCTTTACCCTTCTTGAAGCAAAGCCTAAGCCGCTAGCATAGCAGCAGTCACGTTCTTATCGATCCATACAGTCTCTTCTTATAGCGCGCAGATTCAGCCGCAGACTTCGCAAACATTGTCATCTTGGATACCTTTTACGACGGGAAACGTGAGATTGCGGCACGAAGCTGGCTTGCAAGACGGGCAGCCCTTGCAGCCCTTCACCTGATACTCGGCTCCGACTTAAAGCCCAAAGCAACTTAAAGCGGACCAGTACAACTTGATTATTAGGCCAAAAAACCTTAGTCATATTCATCATGAGACTTGGTTTGCAAACTCCCAAATCAGGCCTCTTCGGATCGAACCCACTGGCCCTAATAAGCATGAACGTACGGATTCCGGTAGGCTGCAAAACGGCCTCGTGATGAGTCCTTAGGCTCAACGACTCCCCCTACAGGAAACAGATGCCCCGGTTCGAAGTCTTCCCCCGGCCCGTTCGACTTCCTTTGATTTCAAAAGGAGCACCAATGTTCAAACCTGCACGATTGCTGGGCGGCCGTTCTGAAAAGGGTTTCCGCTAAGTGTCCGCTTCTCTAGTTGCACACCTTCGACCCGCCATGTCTGTCACTCCCTACGCATATGGACGCTTCCTGCTGGTTCTGCCCCCGCTGCAATCTCATGGGAGTATAGGGTCATCCGACCGTGGACCGGCCGGACAGCTTGGAGATCATTCGCGTAATGACAGCCCGTCAAAGTGCGCCTTTATTAGTCAATTCAATTGGCCCGGTAAGAGCGGGTTGGTTTAACGGTTGGTCCGAGGCTTTAGCTGAATGGTCTGTGTCTCTTTACTTCTCAATCAGCCCTGAGCCCAGTCTGTGACGTCACTGATCACGTCGATGGAGCTGGGCCGCGCGCGCGAGCCGAATCGGGTAAAGCTCAATTCCTTTAGCGCTGCGTTTCAGTACGCGCGCAAGCATTAAACGCCACGCTAGGTGTCCATGATTGGGCCGCCGGAGACCACGCCCTTGCTTTGTAAGCACGGGCGCTTGGCAGATATGCGCGCGCTTTCTGTGGCGCACTCGCGCACTCGTTTTCCCTGGTTGTATCTGACGGGATAATGGCTAGGAATAGCATCGCGTATGAGACTGCGATGGGAATTCTCGGCCCCATAGCAGTTGTCTTGTTTCATGAGCCACCTTTTGAAGGTAACTATCGACTGGACTTTGTGAAATCCTCGTCTCTCGTCCCGTTCTAATTTTTTTCTTTTATTTGCGTTTGCAACACTTTGACCTCTTCATTTTTGGGCCCTTCTTCTTGTGAAATCCTCGTCTCTCGTCCCGTTCTTTTTTCCTGTTATTTGCGTTTGCAACACTTTGACCTCTTCATTTTTGGGCCCCTCTTCTTGTACAGTCTCATGCTTGACGTTTCATGGCGTAGTGTTTTGCAGGCAAGCAAAGGAAGTGTGATTATTTGAGCTGAGATTACTTGAGATTGACAAATGTACGTCGGTCTTCGTAAAGCGTCCTGCCAGTATTCCGCCCTTTCGCTCAAATTTGTGTTCTTTTATCTGCTGACGTGGCACTGATGCACACCCTGTTCTTGGCGCTTTGCGGCCTGGCCATGGAGCGACGTGGCCCGCTGCTAACGCCATGGACACTTTGGCTAGATCTGCTGATGCCATCGCACGTCATCAAGCAGAATATACGTTGGCTGGATCCGTTTCAAAAGGGGTCGGTGCTTGTGTGTCTTTGGGTCGGAGTCTGGCAATGACCCAGTCCGCCAATGACCCGCGACGGTCACGTATAAGCCTGGCAGCTCCTATAAAGGACGCATAATTATCGTCAGTCCGCGTAATTTGCTGCGTCACTGCCTTCAAGACCAAATATAAGTCGCCAGCCCTTCGCTTTCCACACTCAGAATATAATACCAAGGGCCGACAGCCATGAAGTTCGCGGTTGATTCCGTATCTTCGTTCGAGTCAATCTGACTATCAACTTGATGCTCGTTAAACTCCCAGCCTAGCTCTTTACGTCGATCGTTAGTCGTTGTCCCAATTCACATCAAGTCATGAAAGGCCGGTGAGCAAATAGGCTGGTCTCTTCCCTCTTGGAGTCGAAGTGATATGAAAGAGGTGTCAAAACATGAGTCATGTGCAGATCTGAAGTCCTCAAAGTCCAGCAATTAATGTGCCAACTTCAGTGTATCCTACTTAAGAAAGCCTGTCAGTCAGTCGCTCTAAAAGTCCAAGAATTAGACCCTCCTTAGACCATTATATATGGAATTCGAAACGTGTGAATGGGGGTCACATTTTTCGCCTTCGACTTCGAGACTGTCTCAATGATATTCTTTTGTTAGAGTCTGTGTTAGCAATGGGTGTTCAACCGAATAACCAAGTGGTTAAGGAATTGACGTGCAGTCAATGATACATTTGATGTCGGAATGCGGAGATTCGAGCGCGAAAGTTGAAGAGCGGGAAAGTTGAGCGATGCAGATTCAGATTGTGAGTTTAAGCGGCGGCATGATTTTAATACGATGAACAGGAAGACATAACATGATTGAACACAATTCCAGGAGAAGGATGATAGAGAAGCGAGGCACCTGTGAAAGGCGCTCAGGCCATCGCTCCGTGTGCAACATGTGATCGTCCATCGGGCGTCCATCATCATCGGATGCATTGATGTGGTGTGCTGACTTTAATTTCTAGCATTCTTGTTATCTAACGTTGGCCTTGGAGCAAATCAAAACAATTTAACCGTTAGAACTCTGTCAACAGGGGGAATTCCATTGGACGAATATGTGATCTGACCTTCTTCTTTTGCTGTCTGATTTTCGAGAAGCGTAAGCAGGACCGTACAATCGTACAAGCAAGAACGTCGGGTTTGTTGATCGAAGATTTGCAGCCGTTAGATAAGGGGCAGACACCCAATACCGTCAATCTGCCTGGAGGTGTTTGTGGCAGTGCTTGCCACGTACTACCGGCCAGGTCCAGCCACGTAAGGCTGGACCTGGCCGGCAGAAACGGGAGATGGACCGGTGCCGAAGGCACCCCACCGGCTGGAAACCGGGAGAAACTGCCTGGCACTCAGGCAAAATTGGTGCCCAGTGGCTTGTCCCGCCTGGCCAACCGGTAGTAATTGTGGGGGAGCCGGTAGGCAGCCGGCACCGGTACACGTTGGTGGCAAGCCCTGGGCAACTTACGGTACTGACAGTCAAACTTCAAAGGTTGGGTCAAACCTAACCGTACAGTCCGTACTAAATACCTAATTCCCGGGGTCTTTTGATGTTGTCACTTCCATGCAACAAACCGCGCAGATTCTGTCGATCAATTTTGGCGCATGCGAAGTTTCGCGCCGGCCGGCCAGGCTGAGGCGCCGGCATTGGGCAACCCCCCGGTTGTGGCGACCTGTCACCTCTGCCTGACCTCTGCCTGACCTCTACATGCCTATTGAGAGCATTGTGCGGCTCAGCCAATTCATAGCAGCTGGCTGCTCCTGGCCGGCCGGGCAACGCCGGCCCACGGGCCGGCCAGCTGCCACGCCAACTTTGGGGACTCGGAACTTCAAGTTGAAGCCGGCCGAGCGCAACTTTCATTCGGCTGCGGCCAGCTGTGCGCGGCGCATGCGAGCGTCGGAGCGTCACCTAAGAGCATCATCGTACGGTGCCTACCGGTAACCGTTCGCTCTAGTCTCATGGCCAGGGATTACCGTGGTCCGTGAATCTACCGACGGTCGTTCCTTCCGAGTCGCAGTGCCGGCCACTGCGCCAGGCAACTCCCTTGTCTCGTATCAGGGGCCCGGGCACAACAAACTAAAAACCCTAACCCAAAAACTTACGCGCTCCGCACCCAGTTGCCCACCCTAACCACCTTGAAATCAACCCTACCTACCCGTCCCGTCCCCCGGCTTATGAACCTTTCGAGACTCAGGCCCAGCTGGGTAACAAGGGAGTTGCCACAACATCATCATGGTGCCAGTGACTCGCCCTGCAGAATTGCCGCATGCCTGCGTGTGCACAAGAGAGTGTGCAGTGTGCACACGTCGTCAGCACAACGGCCAAACACCTGTACTAGACCTCATGAGGCTCGGGCTACCTACAGGCTAGGACCACCGTACCTATTTGCACTTTGATGCCAATTGAACAATGCTTCCACAATGCTCTACTAGTACCTCTGTCCCACGATGTCACAATGACCATAATTTCGACCCTCGCAACAGCCTCTTCTCAGTGGACCTTCTTTCTGCCGGGGACATTTGTGAGACATAGTTGAAGAGCTGGATGCGCTGGTGCCTACGCCCGTGCTCTCGCGATCTGTGTGATACAAAGGCATTGCCGATGAGCAGATCGAGAGCTGTCGAAGAAGTGCCCGCGGAGCTGATTGCAAGCCTTCAAGGTCGGGTGCGCCAAGGTGAAGGAGGTTGACACAAGCCATGGCTGCTGGCAATGTCCCCGACATGGCTCCATTATGCGTCATTCCAAAGAGCAGGGCAATTGGCCCACATTGTCAAACCAAGGCACCCCTCGTGAAGGTGCTGCTCTGGACCGCACATTTCCTGTTGCTGTCTCTTGCGGGGAGCGCTGCTGCGCAGGGCCTGATCCCCGTGCCCGCGACAGTGACGCGCGAGCTCGGCGCGTACTACATCAGCAAGCTGGGGCTGGCGGAGGGGGGCCTGGAATATTACGCGATTCTGTCGCAACGCAATGTCGGCAGCGACAACGCTTACCTGCAGATCAACGGTCTGCCGGCGGCCGACTCCCCCAGAGATGCAGCGCATAAATTGTCCAACGTGCGGGGCGTTTACACGGCACAGTCGCTTGGGGGAAAGGTGACAGTCGAGAGCTTTTACCGCCTACTGCGATGCGAGGACAGCACGTGCTTCACAATCAGCAGGCTGGCAGCAGCTGAGCTGGGGGGGGGGGCATATGGGCCAACATACCCCCTGACTCTGGTCAAGACGACAATGGGGAGTTCTTCCTGGCTCATCAATGCAAATCAGGGGGCTGTGAATTCTCTCCTGGCCTCCAATGGGGAGCGGCTGTACAAAGATGCGGTCTTCAAGAGTTTCAGTCTGTATCACAAGCTGGTCACGAGGCCCAACCCCTGTAGTTCGGCGCTCCCCCTGACCCAGGCAGGCTCCCTTGCAGAGATCAAGGGCCTGCCTGGCTTTACGTGCATGAATTTGAGCGGGGCTGGCATAGTCGTTGCGACGTCAAGTGCTGTCATAACAAGCTGGATGGACTCCAACGCCCTACCATGGAGCCAGTGCAACGGTTCGATGTTCCGTATGTATCAATCGCAGTACAATGTGGGGCCGAGTATTTGGAGGGTCATCCAAAGCCCAGGCAAGGTGCCGCTAACTATTCAGATCGACCTTCCGCCAAACACGCAGTCGTGCTATCTCTTCTTGACCATCGCCAACATCCTGCGAGCAGTCCTGGCGGTTCGCCAGTTCCCCTTTGACACGTCGGTGGGGCCCAAGGACGAGATCCTGCCCGCACTTGCCAGACTTGGGTTCAATGGCACCTGCGGACCAAGATTCGTTTACGGCTGGTATGGTGCATTCTCCGCGGGCCAGTTGGAGGCGCTGACTGAAGGCAACCCGGATCCAGACTTTGTAGCCTCGTTTCTGCCGTACAACACAGCGCCGCCTGAGGTGTGCGTTTCAATGCTGGGCCAAAATCAACCTGCGGATGGCCTAAGGGCTGAGTCAGAGGACCAGTGCGCTCAGGTGTATTTCGGAAATGAGAGCCAAGTGCGGGAGGGCATCATCACGTCCAGGCAGCTCAGCCCCAATGCGTCGGCATCTGATGTTTCCTCTTACAAGTCGGATGTCGAAAGCGAGTGTGCCAGTTACAACCTCGGCATTGATCTGGTGCTGCCCCAAATTGCGGTGGATTTTGAGGCGGAGAAGAACCTTATGGCGTCATCCTCTGAGGTGAGGAACCCTGTTTGGTTGTCCGTTCTTCGTTGTTTCTTCACTTGGGCTCAGAGAGCTGCGACGCCTGCCGCAAAACAGCTTCTGATCCTGGAAACCTGGACATACGTGTTGAAACCTTTTTCGTGGATCACAACGCTCCTTTTGTTGGGTCAGAAAGCCAGGGAAACAAAGAAGACCAAAGACCTAAACAACCCTGGATGATATTGTTCAACCAAGAGTATGCAGAGTAATAGGCAGCCAATTTGAACAACAAAACGAAGAGAGAGGGGCAACGGCGCCACTGGCAGAAAGCCACTCCCCCTCCCTCCCGGGAGCGAAGATCCCTGTAGAGGAGTGGGAGTCACTCCATCGAGTTGCCACTCACTAGGAGTGGCCCATCATGTCTACACATGTAGTCTTCAGTGAAGCTCCAAAGCGGGACAAGCGAATCGTTTGGACCGTCCTTTAGCATGCAGTCCCTTTATGCGATTCCTGTATGATGCAGTTCCATAACGTTGTTGCGAGACAAAGATGCTGCTGTCCGCTCACAGGATCTCGATACAACTCGAACAGTTTGCAACTCAAACAGCAGCTTGGAACAGGGCCTGATTGCAAGTCAGCGTCTGCGATTTAGTACCTCCCAGTCCATGCCCTGGCTTAGCTGCTCGTAAGAAGAACTTTATATCACGGTCTCCATTAGGCCTTTCTTGTCCTACAAGAAGCATATTGGCAGCCCCTGACAATATGCGGTACGCTGCCTGTTTGTAGGTGAAATTTCACCTGGACGGCGTTGCGGCTAACGCTGCGTCCGTTCTGGCCGTTGAATCAGCTCTTGCCACGTGCGGAATCATCGTCGCACGCATCATCGCTCGAACGGGGCTCTACCGCCGCCGGCGCGTGCGGAGCTCCATCGCGCGGGCCTCCTCAATGGTTGTCGCCGCGATTGTGATAACCATCTTCAACGTACCCAACTTCGCTCTCATCAGCCGCTCCCTTGACAACCACGAATCGCAAGCGATGTACATGCAGGCAAGCTGACGTGTTTCTCATCACCTTACTTCAATATAGGCAGTTTCACATTGTTTCATTGAACTCAGTTCTCGTCTGCTCTTCCAAAGTACAACGTTCGATGTTACGACAGCTGCCAGTGGTCCAAATTCCATTAAGCGCGGCGGTTTCAACTTTCATCCCCAGCGCCTGTTTGAATGCATGCTGTTGATTCCTTGTTGATGAAGGCTGTTGCTTACATGTGCTTCGGTCGTAAAAGCAACAGCCTGTAGTCCATTCCATCCATATTGAAACGTGCATGCCAAAATCAACATTGACTCCTTGTGACGGCTCTACTTTAGTCTTGTATTATGGGCTTTGTTCGATAGATTCGTCTTTGCCTGGATTGCCAATCTCGGAACCATGTTCATGCATAAGGGTTAACCCAAGACTTGACACACATTCCTTTTTCCCCATGTTCTTGACCCCACAACGGATGCTCCGTGTTAACAGACGCCTTTTTTGACTCAATCGGTACCCAGGTGAACATTAAGACCGTGTGCTGGCAACCGCTCCCAATAACGAAGGCTCCACTAAAACGACTCGCACACGCATCAAGAGCAGTGTCACAGACCCTGACGTCACTTTTCAGCTGGCGGCACCACCTTCCAAAGCTCTTAGAGATGTGCAGACAGACGAGACACGTCCACAGGCCCTGACGTCACACTCGAGCTGACGTCACCACTTTCCGTGCGCGCAGGTCAGCGTGCACGACTACCGCCCGAGCAACTTCTCCGCTGTCTTGCGCGCGGAGACGTACTCGTTCGTCACAGTACAGGGGTCGCGCGCGACGGCCGTGATCGGGTTGCTGCTCTACAGTGCGACCATGCTCCTCTGCCTCTACCTCACCTGGACTGAGTTCACCGAGATTATCTACCGCAGGTAATTAAGCTTTTCACCTCGACCCCCTAGCATCCGATCTCGAGGTTATGACCTGAACATACCGAACGAAAGGTGACGCCTTCTTCTCTCTCCAGGTTCTGTCCTTGATGTTGTAGTGCGGCTTTCTTTGTCTTCTCTGCAAGCTCTGCCGTCCCCATTATAGCGTCTCAGCGTCCGGCCACCTCGTTTTTGAGATTTGACTCGATCTGACAAGATAGACACTGGCTGGTATCTTATTCCTTGGCATGCGTCCTCTTTTTTGCACGAGAACCAGCTTAAGGTCCCTTCTCTTCCCAGGTCGTGTCACCATCCGAAGCGTCCAATTGTAGTCCGAGTACAGGGTGTTGACCTAGACTCTTCTTCGTCCTTGTCATCGATCTGTTCGCTTTAGCACATCATTCCTCTGCGGGTATGATCAAGTCCTTGGCTTAAGATCAGACCGAAATTCTGCTCTCATGCTGCCGCTCCTTGGCTCCTGTCCGTCTGCAAACGGTTTTCCAGCCGGTTCAGCCGTCTTTCCTTTCAGAATACGGAATGATTTCCCTATCTACGATGCAATCCGTTGCCAGATTTATCACGTCCAGGCTTGCCGTAGTGGACTACAGTAGAATCAACCCGTGCCCTGACATCAAAGCCGCCATCGTGTCAGCAATTAAGTGCAGATCCGATCGAGTCGACCCTTCGTGCTCTCTGATCCGCAAGTTCATTGTTCCGGCTGGCTTCTGATCCTCTTACTTCGTTTATAGTTGCGCAGCGATCGGGCTCTGCCACGTGTTATCGTCATAATTGCAAATAACCGCTCTCGCCGTATTGGGCTGGCGGGGAGGTTGGCTTGGTGCCGGCGAGTTTCATATGCAAAATTTGAAGAAGCCCGAATCGTCGGCAGAGACTTGCTGTCACCAACTTGAAGGCGTGCACGAATTGTTTTGTTTAAGATTTCATCTACACCCAAACAAAAAACGTCAACTGGAAATGTGACACGTGTGCGCAAGGAGGCCGCATGCAGAAGCCGGCTGTGGCAGGAAGCCCTTTACTCCAACTGTAGCTTGTTCAATTCAAAGCTAGAATGCTCAAACCAGAGACGTAGTTTTGAATGCACCCCACAAAGTTCGTCGAACATTATCCTGCCACGTCTAATGTGCAGCGGGCCCGCAAAGAGCCGTCTTCGGCAGGACGTCCTCGTCGCCGATTGGCAAAAAGTTGCTCGCCCACAAACCCGTTTCCCTGACCCCACAAAGTTCGACGACTAATATTCTGCCACGTGTCCGCAGGGAGGCCGCCGAGAGCCGCCTGGGGCACGACGCCCTGATCGCCGACAAAGACCTGCTTGTGCAGTGGCGAGCGGCAGACAGTCTCGTCTACGACACTCTGCACCCCAAGAAGGTCGTCGAAACGGCACGAGACCACGAGCTTGAGGTCATGCGGTTTAACCTGGCTCGCGCGGCACCGGCCCCGGGGCAAACGTCCCCGGCAACTAGAGAAACGAACGCGGGCTTTTCTCCGCGGGCGGCGCCTTCCCCCCGGGCGAGGGTGCCAAATGCTGGAGACTACTCGCCGCTCCGCGGCCCCCACGCAAGGTCCGACGGTCTTCCGTCTGGCGGACGGGGCAGAACGCCGGACCTGTACCCGGACGTCTGAGCCGGGGATTTGAGGTGAGGGCTGAGCCGATTCCCACCAGGCGTCGCGCCTGCCGAGGGGCTGTTCGCACCGGGACCCCGCCTGTGGAAGTTGGGTGGTGATTGCGCCCTTCATCTGTGCATCCGTTGTCGGCTGCCGAATTTGGAAGTTCTGCTTCGGCGTATCAGCGCCTAGCGTTGGAAAGTCATGCCGCTCCGTTGTGAGAGCCTTTGCCGGGTCCCGTCAGTGTCTCACGAGCAGCCGGGATATGCTGGGTTAGACAGGGTTACGCAGGTTGCATTGGCTTGGTCGTCCAGAATGGATGCTGGTATTAAACCAGCATCCATTGAAAGCTTTCATGCTGGTATCAAACCGAAAGTCGTTCTGAGGGTGACAGTCCGGCGTTGGCGTTGCTTGCAGGAGACCGCCTGGACAGGCGGCGACATTGCAGCGAGCGATAAGGTTTGATTTTCCTTGGACGGAATGGATACGGGAATCATAGGGTAGATTGGAGTCCCTAGCTATAGATAATCAGTGGGTAGGAATGCTAGAGCAGCAGGCAGTGTTGTCAGTACTTACCAGATGAAGGTCGTAGATGAGGGTCGTAGATAAAGGTCGTTTGTGAGCTGGGTCTCGGACAAAAACGACTTTGCAAATCACACGTTCACCAAACTGGATTAGAGGTGAGCTTCGTTTATCGAAGCGCCTTCGAGGTTTTAGGGTGCTATCTATTGTCGGTCGCTTGCAGAAAAGATTGACTATTGAAGAACAGAGTAGGATACATAGATGGACGGAACGGTAGGAATAAGTCCCTAGATGACTCTACCTTGGACAGACGTGTTGGGACCCAGCGGTAGTGGACCTGGCAGCCGCTATCACTCTGCGAACAGTGCGCAAAACTGAGTCCGTTCCTCGAAGCCGAGATCCGGCCGGTCCGCCTGAGCCGCACTCAGTTGAGGATCTCAGACACTTCGTCGTCCGTGCGTCGCAATGCTTCCGAGCTCCCTGCGGCGAGCGCCGTTCTTGCAATCTTGCAATAGTTCTCCTTTCAAGTCCATCGAACTTATCGTGCTCAAGCAGTCTTCGCTTGCCCGTCGAAAGATTAAGCATACGATCGGACTGGCCATGCTCGATTGCGGCTAGCCTCCACTTAAGCTAGTGTACGGATAGACTGACTCTCAGCAGAAGTTCCTTGCGCCAAGGCTTAAGAGCCTTCTTAGTGACGTTTACAGTTGTTGATAGCTTAGGATATAGAGTCTTCACATTTGTTTACCTTCTTTTCCAATCGGCGAGGATTGGCCCTGCGCAAAAGTGGAATAGATTCTTCTTCCAGAATGCGTGGTCGGTTAGATGCATAGGCTGACCGCCATCTCTTTCATAAGCTTTCTTTTGATATATGATACCAGTCCTACCGCCCCCTACGATATCCTCTCTTGCATTACATAAGCGTTGCTGACGCGACAGCGCCTTTGCACCTTAAAGAGACGGTTCCCCACCCGCTCAAAACCGCGGATTAATTTGACATACAGTCGCGATCTGACTAGCTAAGGTAAGAGTACACCGTGCATACACTATATACCAGTCAATTCTGTGGGAAAGCATTTTGTCCAGAAGCCGTCTAAAGGCTGTCTAACCGTAACACATCAGTTTTCATTAGTTCGTTGCCAGAGAAGCTTTCCTTTCATCAGCGTACAAGAAAGCCAATCCCTCAATCGCGCCAGGAATCTGTTTAACCGTCGAAGTCGAGATCTTTCAATCATACGCTTCATATTTCGAGTCAAACCAAAAGGCTCGGCCGGAGCCCTTCTATCGTTGTACGTATATCATTGCAACATGGTCACGTTCAGTTATTGGAAGCTAGCTTCCCATCCATTTCATGCCTTAAAGCATGCCGGCGGCTGATCCTTCGCACTTCATGCCCTCGCGAATGCCGCTGTCATGGAAGGAGTTTAGGTCGGAAGATCTCATCTATGGTGAATTCAAGCATGCACTTGTGACCAATCAATTTAAGTACATGATCGATCATATGGAGTCCAATCACGTGCCTGGCCGGCGCTAGCTCTCCGATATATTGCCCAGCTTGTACTGACGGGTGATAGGACAGCTTACATGATATGTGATGCTCGCAAATATGAAATCCAGTCAATATTGGACATGCAGTTGTGAACTGCATGCGAGCCGCGAAGCTCAACGCACACTTCAACGTCCGACCCTGTCCGACAAATCGGTATGCAGGCTCATGGTTGGTCGCAAGAATGGGAGTACGGAGGCCACGGGCGCGCGGGGGCAGCCCTCCAACGTTTTCTCACAAATATGCTTCAGGATTCGACTCGTTTTCAAGCACCTAGTCTCGCTAACTTAGCTCGCGCAACTCCAAGCGGACCTTGTCCGGTCTATGTATAGTCAGGCCCAACGGCCATACCATTGCTTCTACTGATCTGTGCTTGCTATCCTGCTAATCTCATAGGCATGTTCTGACGGCAACACGTCGTAATAGTTACCCAGGCCACACGCTAGTTGTGATAGCAGGTCGATACGGGCCTGCAACCCCCTACATTTTGAACGGTCCTAAGTCCGAGCGCTTCCTTTCCACTAAGAGTGGCATCGACTCTGATCATTCGTTCGGCGACCGCTCAACGCCTTATATAGCACGCAGACCCCACTCTCATGAAACCCGAAGGGGATTCATCCGTTTAAGCAACTAAATACCGCTGCCGTTATTGAGCTCCATCTCATGCTGTCGCCGCACGGCATCCTCCCAGTCCTTGCAGAAGTCAAAGGCGACGTCTGCAAAGAAAATGACCTTAAAATCAGCACCTCATTCAAAGCACTTACGAAATTAGTGACCTCATCAGCAGTTTCCGCCAGAATCCTATTCTGGCAACAATGCAATCTCACACCAACTAGATTTCGGGAAGCTGAGGCAGAGTTCTGATCTTCTCAGCGCCTGAGGCAGAGTGCTGATTTTTCCAGCGCCTCTCAAATTGTTTGAGCGAGACAGGGTGCTGACTTTGCAGCGCCTCCAACACATCGGGCCCCATGATGCCCCACGCAGTCGGCACCGAGAAATCGAAGCGTCACCTACTGTGGTCCATTGTGAGAGCAGGCACCTTGGCCGGCGACTCCCCGATGATCCTCGCTGGCGTTCCCGCCACCATGCTGCATTCGTAACAGGCGCAACGCAATCATAAAGGAGTATATGTAGCAGATGTCAGTGCTTTCCGTTGTGCCCGTCTTGAGAGTGGATTGGAAGAAGAGCCGACTGTCGCAGCGCGCTCAAAGCTGGATCAGCGCGTATTTGAAGAGAAATTGCTTCAGCGGATTGTTCAATTGGCAATCGGTGAATTCAAGAGAGGGAATTTGACAAAGGGGAACAAAATAGTCTCTGCCAAAACTTCGAGACTTCGAATAGTTGAGGCCCAAGCCCGCGCAGAACGGGAGACGTGCCACTGGAGATACTCGACAAGTGGTTGCCAACACCGACGAAGAACGGGTATCGCCAGCTTACGGCTTTGACTTCGACTATAAAACCGCTTTCGGTACATCCAATTTACCGTTAAAACACATAACACGGGCCAACTGGACAAACCCCCTCAAGGCCTGATCAGAGACGGAACGACCATCATAAGAGAGTGGGGGGAGCGCACCTCTTCACGCCTTTCCAAGGACGATTATCGTGACACAAGGTGCGCCACCGGGAAAATCATTGCGTCCAGCGGTCAATGCACGGAAGGGCTTATCTCGGCACACCCTTGTCCATATACCCTACCTTCCGACCTTCGTAGTGCGAAGCAGAAACACAAACTGCGACGAGAAGTTTACCTTTTGGGGGGCACGTCTTTCAGCACTAGAGCCGGCGGCTACCATCGCCCCTTACTGCATCCTTTACGCAAAAAGAACACTACATCTAGCAGTCCTTTTGTTCAATACACAGCTCGAGTTAGCGACCACATTACCGGCGGAAGCTGGAAACGGAATGCGGAATTGGAAAAGCCTTCAAAATCCCACCTTTTGGACGGCACGTCTTTCAGTACCAATGAGCCGGCGGCTACCATCGCCCCCTTGCCTACTTTGATGTTGCCCAGAATGGTCGCGCCGGCCCCAATCAAACAGCCGTCGGCGATCTTGGGATGTCGGTCCCCGCAATCCTTCCCGGTCCCACCGAGTGTGACGCCCTGCAGAATACCAAGCGGTCAAATTGAGTGGGGAAAAAGCTCTAAGCTTGAGGATCACAAAATCGCGGCTTCCCGCCTTAAGCATTAGCGTGGAGCGTCAGGAAAGCTTCGCTGACGGGCTGAGGCATCCTCCGATTGCCAGGAAGGCCTCTGAAGAGGGGAAAGTAGGGAACAGCTTTACAATCCAAAGGGCATCCTTCCGTGCGCGCAGAGAAACAAGATGCAGCGCAGAATGCTGGTAAAGCAAGGAGCGAGTAACGCATATGATAACCGACAGCAGCGTCTAAATACGGAACCAACAACCCATCGACGAAGGTGGTGAGGCTGCCGGTATGGAAGCAACAAGACTAAAAGTGCTGTGCGTTTTGACAGACACGTGGCAGAAAAGGTTTGGGTGTCTAACACTGCAAGCGGCACCCTTACCTGCAGCAATGACACTCTGTCTCCGACCACTGCTGTCTCGCCGATCACAACGCCCGTCCCGTGGTCCATCAGGATGGCCTTCCCTATCCGTGCAGCTGCGAAATACAAGGATCAGTAGTGGTCGTAAGAATTTTGGCCTGCTCGGATGAGTCCGAAAGGTCGGTCTTAGATCAGCTTTGATTGTGAACATTTGCGCACATCTGACATCCAGGGCTCGGCTAGAAAGGTACGCAGTTCGTGAGTGTTGCGTTTGACTGGTCAAGGTTTGGCTGCCCAGGTCACCAAGATGCTCTCAGAAAGGCGTCAAGCATAAACGAGCGAGGTGGTTTCCAGTGTAAAATGCGGTTCCGCAGGAAATGGACCAAGGACAAGAGGACGCTGGACGAACGCAAGACGAAGACGTGGCAGACAGTACACGCAAAGCTCCTACGAGTCGCTGGCAAATCTCCGTAATCACAGGAGCAAACTGCTAGACGGTGTCGTGTAGGAGTCTGCTCAGATATCGAAAGCGCATCGCACAGGAGATGCACTCCGGCAAGTTTGTACGGGTTGCAAGGCTCACCCGGATGGATGTCCACCGCAAAGACCTGCAAATGGAATGTCACGCGGAGTCAGTAACCCCGAGAAACTCCGAGCGTCAAGTGACGTCACGTTATATGATATCTTAAGCGACCCAAATTAGGGCCGGAGACAGGCGTGCACTTATCGTGCCTCAAATCTGGATTTTAAAGTCTGCGGCAGTCATCGGCAGTCAAAGACTAAGCGAGCACACCTTGATCGCCCTTTCATCTCAAGCGCAGAATTGGCCACAGAGAACGTTTGCCGTTAGAAGATTCCCAACTCGTTACTACGACACTTTTGGTATTGAAGTGGAGGAAAGCGCACTATTCTCAAACAAACGAACAGGCTCGGATAAACATACGACCCCGATGGAACGACCGACACTAAGGCTTATCAGCAGCGCGCCCCTCACCTCGCTAATCCTGCTCTGCATATTAAGCGCCAACACTTTCTGGCCCCTGTTCCACAGTGCGTGAGCTATGCGGTACGCTTGCAGCGCGTGGTAGCCCTGCGGGAAAACACGAAACTCAGTGCGCATACTTATCTCGCGACTTTCATTCCTGGTCGCGCTAAATCTAGCGCCAGTTTACGAAACCCTTTTCACGGGGCAGCGACGGAAGCTAGGTCGAGTACGTGGCATGTGTTCCAGGTTAGATTGTTGACTTTCTAAAGAGTTGCAGTCATATTCATACTCTTACTCTACTTGTAGCGTACGATTCCAAGTTTTTGAAACTTCTTCCACAAGCTTAGTGCGGACAAAAGCTCCCTCTCTTCGAGAACTGCCCAGGAACATCGACAACCAAACGTCCAACAACAGGGACGCGAAGTCTTAGGCGTACAGTGAAACTACCAGGCGAAGCAACTTTGATTTCGATGCCTGAGAACATACCTTGAAGTAGAGCAGAGCACAGCTGTAGGTGTGGCACGAGGGGTCCCGATCCCTGATCGCCTGCAAGCATTTGGAACGGTCACAATAACGGGCAGCCTCCGGGCTACAGATTCCGTATCTAGGAGCGGCTGGCCCACGATGATCAGCAGAAAGCAATGGAAGACTTACCGATACCAGCAGGAGAGAAGAACGAAGGAGTGCAGATCATACTGGAATTGAGCTCCAAGTACTGCAGATAGCGCCCTGCGTCTTTGGTTTCTCCCAAAGTTGAGCCCCAGTCTGCACCATAGACAACTTCAAAATTCATGCCAAGGAGTCGAGGCAATTCGCGCAACTCCGCAAGCAGATCTGTCCCTCCCAAGGCGCTAGAGGAATAACTCCGGGGGGGATCCCCCTACCTGCACATCCGCACGGATGGCCTCCTGGATCTGCTTGTCGTGCGCGAGGACGTCGTCAAAGATGTCCATCAGTTGCGTCGCCAGGAAGACCGCGTTGTTGAGGCGGTTGGCCAGGATGAAGCCCAGGCTGCGCTCGAAGCACGAGTGCGCCAAAATGCTCGCATACAGAAACGAACTCAACAACGGCTCCCGCTCAGACTCGACCCTGCAGGGTTAAAATTTTCAGTCAGCGAATTTGAGGTGGCATTGGTCAGAATGCTCCACACATGTGCACTTGGCATGTTTGGCGGAGGTACGAAGAGGAATCATATGCAAATGACCTTATTAGAGAAAGTCTGCGGATGCCCTCATTGCCTCAAAAGTGAATCCATTCAAGAAGAGAGAGCGAGCACAGAGTCAGACCACAAGGTCAATTGAGCTATGGCAGAAGATCCGCTTCTAAGAAGTGTCACATGCAAAGAAAGCAGTCCTGTAAGAAGCACAGGCTCCCTCCTAGCCCTTCTCGCTTATCATGTTGTCATATTAACGCAATCTAAGCTAGAGGAGAATACAGCCGAATTCGTCCCGCAAAAGTCTGCAAAGAGCTCGGTTTCAAGCTCACTTCGCTTCAGCTCGGATTGCCGCCCACAGCGGGTCATGCGTCATCAGGTCCGGTTGCCGCACCCCCGCATGATATGGAAGTGCTGCAGACCAAGGGGGCGCCCCAGAGTCGAGCTTGCCCCCCCCCTGCCCGTTCAAGGCCGCAGCGGCCAATTGTGCGGCACGAAGCGCCGCCTCACCTGCTCAAAAGTGATGATCATATTGCTTAGATTTGACGACCTGAACATCAAAGTGGATTCGAATCTTAATGACACGTCGCTGATTCGCATGTTGCTCGAAAGAATCTTCGAAGAATGTCGATATTTCAGTGTTGTTGAAGAGTGGTCGTCATGCCACTGGACAATTGAACATTTGCGCAACAGACCTCTCAACTTTCTGGTAAGCAACAATCATCTCAAAAGCTCGTCCTTGGAGGCAATACTTGCAATGAAATATCTGAAATAGATGCGCCTTTACAAGCTGCCTGAAAACCCGTCTTGTAAGAAGTGAAGAATAGTGGGGCACAAAGAGTCACCATCGTAAGCATTGGCACACAAGCAGGGGGGGGCGTACCATCATAAACAGGCTTCCCCGCTGACTGCAGTTTTGCGGGCCAGTGGCCTGTTGACTCAAACTCCTCCCGACTCTGCATATAGGTTGGAAAGCTCTGCGTCCATTGCTGGTCGACCTCAGCCTGAAGCGCGCTGGGGAGAGGTTTCACTTCATCTTTCTTCTTCTTACTGTCTGGCCCGTTCCCTTTCGCTGCCCCATTCACCTTCGCCGGCTTGCCTTCGAACGGGTTCTCTTGCCGGCCAGCTCGAGAGTCTCCCTTCCCACTTGAGGAGGCAGCCGCTATTACACCTCGTCCTTTGGCTTTCCGTAAACATGCCGTGTCTTCTTTTGCTTGTTCCAGCTTCCTCTCTCTAGGGGAGAAATGACTTACACCGCTAGACTTGTTAAAGAGGCTGGTTGACAAGCTAGTGGCGTTGGCATTAGAGCTGCGCTGAGGATGCTGGCTCGACGAGGCGCAACTTTGCGGGCCCAGGGGCTCAGGCAATCGGGCCACAAAGCTGCCTCCCAGGCTTGCTGTAGCAGCCTGCATCTTGGGACACCCAGCAATAGTTGTGCTTATATGTGTCCTTGCTTCTCAGGTACCGTACACTTGTCTGCGGCCACCACTCAAAATTCCAATGGCTTCAGTACTGATTCAAGGAAACTGCAAACCCTAAAAACTCACATGGCCTCCATAGGTGAAATGCATTGCAAGCAAACCTGATGAGACCAGATTCAAAGAAAGAACGCTAGTAGGCCCAATCAAATCAAGCACCTTGAGGCATGCCCTTTCGCAAAAAGTCAGGCTGCCTGCAACATTCTCTGAGCGCCTCTTGCGAAGCACTTCCAACCACTTCTCCAAACTCCTCGTGCAAGGGATTTCAAAAAGAGTGGCCACTGCAGCGGTGAAGAAAAGAGAAGCGTTCCTCTCCTGAACCTAGTGAGAGTCAAGACGCGCCAATTTGCATACAGGCTCAGCAGCCTGGAGTATCCGAGAGATGAGTGCTCATCTGACATCTGGTCTTCTCTGCGACCACGTTTATCCAGACATATACCCCCTCACCTGTTCATATCTTCTTTAGGTTGTTCCTGTTCGTCCGATGATCAAACAGACGACCCGAATAGGTTGCAAGAAGACCCTCGTGGTTCCAGGGGGGCTTGGCGAAGGCATAACGTCCAGACACTTCAGGTGCTCGTGCCAAGACCAGAGATTGCCCTCATGCAGCAACAATGTCCAGGCAAACTTCAGTTCCCACATCTCAGAATCCCAGCACAGGTAGGTAGCTCAGGCAGCGCTTCCTGCACTGCTTGAGGATTGGGCACCTACTTTTGCAGCTAATTGCATGGGGTTCCTGTGAAGAGCCTATCACTGGTATCAGTAAGATAATGGCACGCTAATGCAGCTTTCGCTGGGGTTGTTGTATCCTTTGACGAATCTTCTCGCTTGCATCCTGACATAGAATTTTATCTTCATGTATACTCTAAGTGGCACGCAGGCGCCAACCTCATGATAGATGTTTCCACAAAGCTTGAAAACAGATATCTAGAAGCTCTCGTAAAAAGTTTGCAGCTCAATTGACACGGCTTTTGAGATCTTCACTTGGTTAAAATGCTTGGAAAATATTTGATAAAAGCAGTGCAGCTGGGGAAAGCTGGTTGTGCAAAGGACTGGCTAATCCATGATACTGGTGGTGCGGAAGTAACGCGTGCACTGGGCGCAGCACTCCTCAAAGCAGACCTTGTCCCAACAAGTGGCGTGAGACGGCGGAACTATGCAACGGGGTTCACTCTCCCGGCACCGAAGGAACTGAGCTCGATTCTGAAGATTGAAACTGTGCGGGACGCCTCCAAAGAAGAGATTACACGCATCTGGAACGAGGTAAGCACCGGCACTATGTTCGAGAAAAGAGAGTCGTGGGTGCAGCCTCAAACATGACAAACTTGCCGCCAGGCTTTGTTGATGCAAGGGTCAAATTTGGATGTAGAATTGTAGACACACCAGGTGGATGTTTCTCGGCAAGCCCTCAGACTGATGTGTGGATCTGGAAACCACTGCCTCCCCCAACTTTCAGCGACACCATACCAACATCTTCAACCAGTGTCTTGATCCAGCTTTGTAAGCCAAAACACATGTTTTTTGGAAGTTCGTAATCAAGATGCGAGTCTTGATGGCTGCACCACTCCGGATTCCACCGAGATCCCGAGACCAACGATCTAAAGAAACGCATGTTTTCGATGGAATTGTACATGACAAGCCTGAATCTGTCATTTCTCGCCTTCCTGGATAAAAGTGGTCTGAGTATGTGAGCAAGCAGAAATATCTGGATAAGTGTCAAGAGTCTCAGGGCGCTTACACCACGCTGCCACATTATGCAGTATCATTTCAAGCTGGGCAGGGGGCACGTTAGTACAGTCCTCGATGCAGCTGCTTTCAAAACATTCAGAGAAAGGGTCAGTGAATGGTAAGGCTGAAGAAACTGACTTTTTCGCGTTGCTGTCAGAGACATAAGTGCATATCACTCTCAACGCTTGTAGTGGCAGATCTGTCCGCCCCACTTTGTGCACTTCTGAATCCTATTCAAAGGTTCTGATACCTCGATTGTTCTTCTGGGAACTTACGAATCATTCCCAGTTCGCATCAGCTGACTGCACGCACTGATTCTTAGCTTCCGAGTTGCAATTGTCCTCGAGCTTTGCAAGACTACTTCTCATAACTCAATTCCTTGCCGTTAGTCACAGTCGAAGACTTCTGTTGTCAATCAAAAGCATGTATGTTTCGCTGTATTTCTAGTTCAAACCTGGAGAGCTTTGTTCTATATGTGAACTCCACTCGCTGACGACCTTTCTGATCTTGCGGTGCAGTCCTCTCTTCGTTCTCCCTCTCAAAAAGCCGGCCGGCTTCGTCACCATGTTTCTGCAAGGTGAGACCCTCCATCTGTCCAAAATGGTTGCGAGTCTTCTCCGTTGAAGATCGATCCCTTCCCTCAGCTTTCACACACACCTGTCCGCAAGACGTCTGAATGCAGATTCTGTAACCCTTTCGCTTTCGATTGTTACCCTCCCCTTGCTGAAGCTTTTGGCCGCGACATGCGCTCTAGGCGAAACTCTTCACTCTACGCTACTTGAGCGGGCTCCTTCTAACCAGTTGAAACCGTCTGCTTGAACCAGCCCAACTGCCACGTGTCCTCTTCACTGGCCTCGAGGACTACAAGGTCCGGGGGTCGCAAGCTTCTCCATACCTAGTTGTCACGCACTACGACGATCTGGCAGAGTCCAAGGACGTCGTACTTGTTCGGGGGGACATCATTCTGCCTGCACACCTGAAAGATGCAGAGGTGAGGACCTTGTCGTTGTCTCTCTTCGCGCGAACTTCGTTATGGATGTTATGGCACTGCAGAGCTTCGACTTTCGGCCCCCGGCTTTGCTCGTTGAGCTGCTCCGCAGTTCGACAATATCTTCTACAACAAAGGCAGCAACAATATAACGTGTATGAGGCCGGGGCTCAAGTCATGGGGCTTTTTGTTGTTTGTGCAAGATGTATTGTGGCAGGGGGCCAACAGTTTCTAAAGCAAGTATTTGTTGTCGAAGGGAAGGTTCACGTCAAGGACTGATCGGCCGTGCCATACCGGCTTCCTTCAAGTTGCCCCGGAGCTAAGACGGTAGATGTAACACTGCGTTCGTTTCCGTGTATTTCCAGGCGACGGATCTGCTCGAAGCCAGCCACTCGTTCTACTTGAGGCGGGACCTTTTTGATCACGTTCAAGCTTTCAATAGAAACAGTGCCAATTTCGATTTCAACGAGGTCCTTCGGACACGCGGCATCTCGCCTTTGTAACATAGCTTGCTGCGGCGTAAACCGTTAACTAGAATTGCCTGCGAACTGAACATTCTAGGTTAAAAGCGTCATTTGGTATCATTTGGTATGCATTCCCCAAGTTTTACCTTAAAGCGTCTCCAGTGGGCCTACTATAGTAAACACGTCCAATACTTGTCAGGTTGCCAATCACATAAGAGCCTCATATAGAATCGTTTATTAGGAGGGGCAGAATGTTCTCCGTCCAAAGCAGGGTACAAGTTCCTACATCAACCAGCGTGTTTAGTCTTTTGCGGGACGTCGGAATGGAAGTGAACTCCGATATCTGGCTGTGAAAAGAAGCTGATCGACTTGAAATTGCACATATGTACCGATTCCGGCTCAAAGATAAACAAGCAACTTCAATCAAGGCTCTTGAAAGCTTGGTTACACTACGAGCTACATCCGGCAAAAGCTCGATTCTATATACATCAACGTCGAAGAATCGTTTTACCGTCTATATTGAATGGCCTCGTGATCTACATGAAATGAATGAAATTCACCTCAGATTGCATTGAATTCTGACCAACTAAGCTTGATCCAGAAAAATATTGAACACCCATGACTCAAAACGGCTCATTACGGCAAATCTGCAGTGGAGTTTCAAGAGCTACACATACTCCACTGATTGACCATTTTACTTTTCAAAGAATTCTCAAATTGAACAATGGTTTCTCGACTTGACAAATTCTTGGAATACAATTGCCCTCAGTACCGAAAAAGCAGGTTCTGGTGCTTTTCGTTGGGATCATTCTGCATGATCTGGACGCTACCCACTTTCGTACGCAACAGACCTTTTCTGGTAGCCCGCATACAGGCCTCTTCTTTCCGATTCGCCCTCGATTCGCCCCCATTGTGGCAACCCAAGGGCCAAAGGCCAAAGGGGACTCAAAGTCTTGCCAGCTACAAGGGAAAAGCTCATTTGTCGCGAGGCGGCGCGGCCGGCGAAGGAGGACCGAATCAGCGTCTGCTGCGCGCGCGCGCGCTCAAACTACGGAAGTTCAACCACCATCGCAGTTTTCAGGACTTCGCTTGGCTCGGGAAGAGGAAGGAGGAAGACGCAGTGCAAAGCGACGAGGCCGGAATGTGGTGCTTGGGACGGTAGGTTTCAGCATTAGGAAGCTTCCCCTAGGTCTGTTGGCAGAACAGGAGGCAAGCCATGGCCGTCAAGATTCGTCTGCAGCGGAAGGGCAGAATCCGTCTTCCAATTTACCGCCTGGTAGCGGCGGATAGCAAGGCTCCTCGGGACGGCGCGTTCATCGAGATTCTGGGGCAGTATGATCCGAAAGCAGGTGAGAGGGTTTGACTGCAGACCTAAGCACTGACAGGGTTTCCATAGGGTTCCACACAACGGGCTTTGAAGGATTCAACGGCGCTTTGGTATATTGTGATGCTTCGTTTTGCTCGCGGTGACTGCTGCTCCAAGAATGCTGCCACAGTTTGATGCTGCTAGAGACGGTGCTTTCAAACGCAGAGACTATGGTTAGGAAGGGATTTTTGTTGGTTAGCAGACCCTTACCGCTGTGTCTTTAACTTCTTATTTGTGCACATATCCCTGGCTTCCAGCATCTCATTGTCAAGCTACATATCAAGCATAGCACGCTATTCTGTGATAGCGTTTATACCCGAAAGGGCGCTCTTCTAGTGGACAAACGTCGTAGAAGCAAACACTCTATCTTGAAGCATGCTCTTACGACGATGAGCAGGATGATTACCGCATATTCTCGTATCATGTAAAGGGAGAGTTTGATTGTAATGTTGCCAACAAGAGCAGCGCACTGTCCTTATTTTGGCAGTGTCGTCTGGTCAGCATCAAGCTGAGCTTGTCGAAGCACTGTCCGAAGCACTTGGTTTTTGAGTGCCGCGGTGAAGCACTTACTTCATAGTTGGCACGCATCGTGCCATGGCTGGTGCTGCTCAGTCTCTGGATTGATAAATGCACGCGCTTCAGAGGTTGTGGAACCCGATCGATTATGATTGTGACAGCTGTCGCGTCGCGTCTCATTGCCCACATTGTGTCTGAGTGTGGTTTCCTTGTTTAAGCGGAATTTGTTTTTGTTTCTGCAGGGAGGCCTGGCATGAACCACACAATCAACGTCAAGGCCGAGCGCATCCAGTGAGTGCTCTTGTTCTTTGGCATTCTTCTTGTGGAAGTGTATGTCTGGGTCTCTTACGGGTGTCTTTTCTTGACATGGTCATCTCAGGTTTGCCAGAACCTGTCTATCTTGCAATTTGACTGTGGATAGCTGGTGGACAAATCTCCTTGCTGGTCACGTAAAGAAGTCAGTTCTGCACCCTGGGTATTGCGGCATGCCCACCATTCACCATAACTGTCAGAATAAAGTTACTCAGTGCAAGGTGTCCGGAAACCCACACCTTCAGTTTGTGGCGGCTCAACGATCCAACAAACGGCACTATCCACTTCAGCGCTTTTGACCCCTACGCAAGGTTTGTTTCTAGCTTGAGTCCACGCAACAGAGCTGGTCCAAACGTACACCGTTGATTGACTTGGGCTACTTCGTGGTACCATAAGCGGCGAGCATCAGCGCACTCTCAGATCGGAAGAATGTTGACGGCAGTGAATCATGCTGCCAAATCGGTCAACGCTCTGGCAGCCTTCAGTGCTTCTGCCACCACACTGCAGCTTATCCGGGTCCCACAATTGCCTTAGCTCGTATCAGGACGTGCCCCCTGAATGGGATGCCACAGACCGCATACCATCTGGCAGCTGTGTCACAAACCACATTGGATACAACAGTATTACCTGGTTCAGAAGCTTTTGACGGCTTCTTTCAGCATCACCGTTCTTACTGCTTCTGCTTTGTTTTGCACCAAGGTTTTCACTATCTTTTCACACCGCACCTTTCTATCACTAACTACTGGTCCACTCCACTCTGCACCCTTTCAACACTGATAATCGGTCCATCCCTCTCAACCAGGCACTGGCTGGACTGCGGCGCCCAGCCCACCGAGACCGTTAGCAGCCTGCTCCGTCAAATCGGCATGCTCCCCATGGTCGACTTCAACAAGAAGGAGGAGCCCTACTACGGAAGCCGCAAGAAGAAGGACGAGGATAAGAAGAAGCGCGCCAAGAAGGCGTCCGCCGTTCTTTCCGCCCCGGTCGCGCCTCGGGCCGCGCCGGTCGTCCCGGCTCCCATGATGGAGCCGTTTGGGTCGTCCTTTAGAGGAACCGCCGTGGCTGCTAGGCCTTCGTTCAGGCTGCAGTCGGCCAACGGGTTGTCTGCCATTAGGTCAGGTAGTCGGGTTGCAGCTCCGGGGCTCGCGACGAGCCAAATGCGCTCGATGAGCATGGTGGGCATGCGGAGCGCACTGCAGAGAGTGGCGTGCGTATGCGGAATTTAAACGGAATGATTTAGAAGGGGTGACGCCTTGCAGTAGACTTCAGCAGGTAACAACTGTGCACCGATGGCGAAGGAGGCTAAAAGGGTCTCCTCACATTCTTGATCTGGGCTTTTAAAACTAACTCTTGACCAGCCAGTGGATATCAACCCTCTTCGATTTGCCACTCTGCGGAAGCTAACATTCTCGGGACTGGCATTTGCCGAATCCAGCAGGCGACAACTTGACCTGCATTTAATGCCGGCCGCAGTTTCTGTTGTGGCCTGCCATCATTCTACTGATCCATGATGGACGGTTGGCCCGGCCATGCAGCGGCTGCAGTCTGCACACCATTGCAGCCATGGCAGGAGCATCTATATATGCAGGCTTGTGATGTCAGTATGTTGGATGAGGCACTGAGTGCATATGCGCCGAGCCGGTTGGATTGATACACATGACAGATAAATCATGTATACAACGGTTGAAATTGAGTGCTCAAGTACGCACGTGCATAATATGCATTAGTACGCAACTTAACACTTCCGCCAAGGCTGGGCCGTGCTGTCGTGACTGATAATAAAAGCTATATACAAAGATATCCGACGTACTGCAACGAGCATGCACAAGCGATCATTCAACTTTCCATTCTTTGGATTAGCATGGCAATCCACTCATGCATGGACACTGATTGCAATTGCGCGACATTTTCGACGAATATCCACCCTCAGTGGCATGTTCATCAGGCTGTGCAATTTACAGCGCGCGAGTTAGGCTGCGCGAGGCGGCTAGCCATCGGATGCGCTTAATAGTTTGCAATTCATTCAACCAACCTGGCGGCCTAGATCAAACTCGAACTCGCAATTGCAGAGTGCGGCAGGTTGTTCTTGATGCTTTGACTAGCAACTCATTGTCAGGCAGCCGACTTGTGGCGTTCTTAGCCCTACAAGCTGTCCACCAACCAGCACTGCAGCCTTCAAGTGATCGGACCAACAGAGCTGCCCTTTTCCGTGCGTGAAACTTAGAGCTACCGCCAACGGATTGACTGTCAAGCCTCTAATGTACATGTTAGCAAAATTGCAAGCTTCTCTTACAAAACTCCCTCTATCCAAACATACAACGCTCAGAATTGAAAGGAGCTCAGATTGAGCTACTCGAGCTCCTTCAAGAAGTCCTCGTTGTCGACAAACACCTGCAACGAAGGGGGATTCGTAAGTCTCAATTTCTGGAATCTCTTAAGATAGCGAACGAGGATGTCAAACTTGCAGCAACCAGTCGACTGGCGAAAACGATGTACGTGCCGAGTCAGCGGAATGCTTCTCTGCACAGACTTTGCCAGCTTGATTGGGTTACCTACTATATGCGATTTCCCACTTAACCCAAGTGGGAAACCATTTCAGGCGGTTTCCCACTTAACCCAAGCAAAGCAGGATGTGCTCCTCCGTCAGACTCACCGTTTTCCAGCCGTCGGGATCCAACGCTGCGACAATCTTCGTGTTGAGTCCCGGCAGGGGCCCAGCCTCCCTGGTGATCTTGGCCCCCGCCGCACGCAGGGCCTCGCCGGTCTTGTACACGTCGTCAGTTCCAATCGCAATCTGTGCAAAGGGAACAGGACTCAGAATGGGTGCAGTTGGGTTCTTTGCGAAATTTGGAGGTCCAGACTGTGTCGAGCGCGCAGCGGTTCTCCAGTTTACTATCTACGTTGCGAAGATCACTTTGCGTGTTTCGCAACACGATCGAAACACCCAACGTGAAGGTGAAGCACGTTCCCGAGGGGCCCAGTATCGCTTTCCTCCTTCCTCAAAAATGCTTCTAAAAGCTCGACTGTAAGCGGCTTCCGCCAACAAAAATAAGGTGAGCTGACACCTTCGCATTGAAGAGCACGAGGTTGTCCAAAACAAAAAGGTCCTGGAAAGGCCAGCAAGAAACCCAGTTGCTTCTGCGATAAGCAGACTAGAAAGTCGTATCATCCGAAACAAAGAAAAGCCCTGAAAGGTCCGGCATGCCAAGGCAATGAAGATCTGCGGTTTCGGCCGGCGCTTACTCCACTGCACGTCTACGAGAGGAGTGAGAGGATTGAGATCACCGCGCTACAGGCCAAAGTCGATCCGCTAGCAATCCGACGGAACTGCCAGAACGAATGATGATAAGTAAACACGTTTACGGTATTTCCTGATGTCGGACGACCGAAGGCGTCTAGCCTCAGGAAGAGCTGTCCAGCGGACGACCAGAAGTCAAATGACCTGCAACGGGAAAAAGGAAAACGAACCAGTTCGGGTCACCCACTTGGCCGTAGGCGTCGCCCTTAGTGTACTCTGTCACGCCGTAGTTGTACGTCAACTCCAGGACCGTGCTCTCGTCCTCCGGACCGTAGCCCATCATGGCGATCGTATACTGCACAGCCCAATGTAAGGTTCAGTCGCAGATCGTTTGCAGAACATGTGACAATAGGCTAATCAACATCGACACGGTATGATGAGGACCCAGCGTCAAGCTAGTCGGTGCCCCGTTCGTAAAACAAGTGATGTCAACGGGTCCAAAATGGAGGACGAATTTCAAATCGCTTCTCGAATAGGTGTCGGGGTGTGCCTGAGATGAACAGCTCTCTCCACCACAACATCTTTTCAAAGGCGAGGGGGTTGGACAGCGTAACCCCACCAGGGGTGTCTATCCAATTTCTGTCTGGAAAACTTGGAAACCGCTGGCCGGTTGAATGATCGGGCAATTGATGTGCGCCCACTACGCACGCACCTTTTGCTCGGGCCGGTCCGACTTGCGCAGCAGCTTCATGCCGTGCGCCTTCTCGTAGAACTCAATCGCGCGGTCCATGTCACCCACGCGCAGCATCACCTGCGCGAATGGCTCCTTAATGGGGCCCGCACGCTGGATCAGCTCGAACATGTAGCCGTCAGGGTCCTGGAAAAATGAAGGAAGGTGCTGGTTTCCGCAAAACAAAATGGCGCTTCGACTCTGCTGTCGACTCTGTGTGCAATAAGGCGGCATCCACAAAATGAAAGGTCCGATGCTTTAAAGTCAGCCGAGTTGATTGCGTAGGATTGAAGGTTCTCGGCTGAAACTAGACGCCCTCTTGAGTCCTGCGAAAGAGTCTGTTCGTCGCCAACCAATCGACAAACACGTATCGCACATTCACGTCTAGGGATACCCCTTTCTGCAAAGTCGGCGCGGTAGTCTGACCGGCTGGTAGTCAGCGCACAGGGGCCCCCATCGCAGCAAAAGGACTGTGGCCACCGAAAGTAGTGTCGCTCTTTAAAACAAAACGCCGTGATTTTAACATGGAGAACGCGCTTCGTGGCGGACCCACCTTGACAAACGCGATGATGGAGCGGCCTCCCTTCACCGGCCCCGGTTCTCTGGTCACCGTCCCCCCGAGCACCTTAATCTTCTCCACAGTCTTCGCAACCTGCCGGGACAAAGACGACGAGTTTTCTCCTCAGCCTAGATTCGAGGACTGTCTGAATCCGCTGTAGAACATGGTGTGAGCAAGCACATGCACAACTCTCTGGCTGGAGCATTCCGCAAATAGGCACGTTTGTAAGTTTCTTGCAGAAGTGTGTCTATTACTCTGCACCCGCTCTCGGCTCCCGGTTTGCGCTTTCTCCGTCTGATTCAGAGCTTTCCTCGAAGATGCTGTTCTTGACGTGCTTATGAGACGTAGGACGGGGCAACAAGGACTGCTAACAACTGCTCGTCTACTAGGCAAGGACTGTGGGGGCGCGACAGAACCGTTACGGCCGGATCGTAATCGCTTGTACTTCGCTTCTCCCGAAGTGATTGGGCGGCGGCATCTGGTGGCAAAAAGGGGGGTACATTAAATAAGACAAGATACATCATAAGAAAAAAAGAACATGTAACACAAGCGTGTTTTGAAAATTAACGATAGATCAGGCTCACGTCCTCGACCGCGATCCCAAAGTGGCCGAACCCGGACCCGATGTCGTATTTGTCCTTGCCGTAGTTGTAGGTGAGCTCCACGACGAAATTGCTGGTCTCGGGGCCGTAGCCCAGGAAGCAGTTGGTGTACTTCTCCTCGGGGATGTCGCGCTCGCGTGTCACCTGCATGCCCAGCGCCTCCGTGTAGAACCTGCAGAAAAGAAACGTTGGGCTTAGGAAAAGGTTTCATGAATGAAAAGTACGACACGTGAGCTTCTCGAAGAATGTTTTGAGGAAAAGATCAGGGATGTTTGTGCTCGCGCGTCACCTGCATGCCCAGCGCCTCCGTGGGGAACCTGCAAAGAAGGGAGCTGGGCTTGGGAAAGAGTTCGTGACTGCAAAGGATGACTTGTGTGCTTCTCGAAGAATGATTTGATTGAAACGAGCAGGAAGTTTCGTGCTCGCGAGTCACCTGCATGCCCGCCGCCTCCGTATCGAACATGCGGGCATAGATGAAATGTTTGAAAAGAGTGCGCGAATGCAGTGACAAAGTGGGCTTATTCAATATCGTGAAGGGTGATAAACCGGGAATTTCGTGCTCGCAGGTTACTTTACTTCCAAAAGCCCGACGAAATTGGATCGATCCGGAAGGCATCAGCTGGAAAAGCGGCTCTCGAAAGCCACCTAACTCTGGATTTCTGATTAGCGCACACACGCCACCTGCATGCCAAAGTCCTTCTCGTGGGCAATGGAAAAAGTGCAGAAGCGTCGGATCCTGGAGACAACTTTTCTGCGGCGTCCCTTTCCAGGCGGTAGTTGTGTGCTCAGGACCTAAACAAGTGGCGCCTAAGTGCCATGTCCGGAAACAAAACGAACACAGACCGACGCAGACAGAACGAAGGTCATATCAGATGCAACTACGACGTCCACAGTCGCCTCTATTCCCAAAATAAGCAACTTCGACTTTAAGGGCGACATTAACAAGGGACACCTCACTTCTTGGTCGCCTCCAAGTTGCCCACCCGGTAGACCACGTGCAGCATCCTCCGAGCGTCCGATTTTGCGAAGGCTTCGACGTCCGACCCAGACGCTGCTTCAGCGGCCATGGCTCTGGGCGCCCCGGGGGATCCCCTTGACACTCGAGCGAGGAGCGGCTCTGCAAGCACGAAGAGTGTCAAGAGCTGGCGTTTGGTCCAGGTCGCAAGGGAGGGGCGGGGTTGGGGGGCTGGCTCGGAGATTGGGGAGTGAGAGGCTCGGGGGTGCAGGCAGCCTACGAGGAGAGAGAGCAGTGACGTCAGAGAAAAGCTAGGACGTCAGAAAGGACGGACGGCTGGTGCCTCGGGGCTTCTGTAGAGAGCGTCCGGAGAAAAGCATGTCAATCGTCTCAGTATGAGAATCAACGAAATTGGCCCCTTTGAGGGACGCAGAGGATATGGTCAAAGCACGTTCCTTGTTGCTGGATTTGAGATAATATGGAAACGCGCAGTTACGGACGAAGTTCTGAGCGGATCTGCATCAAAAAGACGTCCAGAAGAAACCTTTGCCTTGCTGAGAGATGCAACGTGACGGTCAACTGTCATCTTCTCACAGGAACGCCGTAAACGTATGGGAAAATCCAGAGCGTCTCATGGCAGCAGCTTTTCAACAGGAGTAGAAAGGGTTACATCAGGGCCTGCTTTTTGCTTCTGCATCATCGACTAGCAGAAACCAAGCTCCCCATTCTGCATCATAAGGCTTCGTAGTCAGGCACGACAGAGGATCTCAAGGCCAAGCTCTGCTGAAAATGTTTTTCATAAGTCAGCCAATAATCATTTCCAGTGGTCGTATGAAGTCAGGAACGTTTGCTCGGCTCAGAATCAAGTAATCTTCGCCTCTCAAAACCAACTTCGGCGAGCAGATACAAGCTTTTATTGTTACTGAAAGCTTGAGCAAGGAATCATTGAGGCACAAGGTTGATTGTTGGAAGCACCAACAACAAAGCGTAGTGAAGCAACTACAGAATGTACGACAACTGCTGGCAGTCAGAATAAATGCAAGCAGACCGCCGTGCAGCCACTGCGACCAAAGGCTTCATCACTGCCACCTTGATGCTAGTAACTTTCACCCAGCCTGCAGTTACTCATCAGGTACCTTTGAAGGATTGCAAGAACAAATCTTCAGATTCTTTGAACCGTAAAATTTATTGACTGTTAAGAGGGCTGCAATCAGGACAAACAGGCTGGATCAATAATTCAGAAGCCACACCACTGCCAACTTTATACTCTGGAGTGTATCGACTCAGAGTGCAAAACCGCACCGCAAGAGAATGCAAAACCTCCTCCCAACATGCTCACGCAGGCCCTTCCTATTACAAGCACAAAGGGCGTCCATCCCGTGGTTGCAGCACCACAAGGCTAACACAAGCGAACCACTTTTAACCAGATTCAATAGAAGCGGGGCAAATTGTGCATTCCTAAGGCTCTTATCACCATCAGCCAAAATAAAATCCTGAGAGGCTGCTGCAAAAGACATCCGAATAGTCCCAAAAGTAGTGGCAACCAACTGCTTGGCTGCACAGTGGTTGAGCGGCAGCGATCACAGGCTTTCTATATCCTGGCCAACTCCTACCAAGCAAAGATGAGATGCATCTTTCCGGCACGCCAGCAGAGTACAGGCATCACCAGAGGCCATCCCTGATGCTTGATTCCTCTCACAGGTTCTGAGATGTCATGTCCTTTTCCATTTTTGACGGCCGCTTCAGAGTGATGATTGTGTCCAACAAGATGTTGAGCTTTTCAGACAAACGCCTCACGTAAGCACAGCTCAAAACGGTCTCAGAGAACACACTGGCATTGCTGGTGCTCATATTTGTGGATAATCCAATCAACAACACACGGTTCCCACTCTCGGAGATCAAATTGATACTGGTAGAATGATGGTTGAATGACTTCATGGACGGTTGAATGAGTTCTTTGACAGGTTCAGACATTACTGTTGAGCAGAATGACATTCTGGGGACTAAAGCGAGGGGCAAACGAGTACCACCCAGCTTGAGACATCACTGTAGAGCAGAATGACATTCTGGGAGAGACAAAAGCCAAGGGTAGATGCCCATGAGAGACAGACCAATCATTGCTGAGTAAGTGGCGCCCAAACGTCCCAGACTGATACAGACGTACCCTGAGTAAGATGAGAGCAAGTCCTTGCATGTGCGGGAATTGCTCTCAAATAAAGCACTGTCTCCACTAAAAAGCTCAAGCTTGACACTTTCTGCAGGGCTTCCACTCAAAGAAGAGTTCAGCGCCTCTCAATGCTAAGCACTCAGCTTCAGAGAGCATCAGTGTTGATCACAAGCCTTAGGCAAAATCAATTGTGCATTGTGATTTCGCATTGTACATTGCTTTCATTGCTATAGCTTTTGAGCCGACTGGCTGTCAACACCCCCCACCGATGTGCCAGCATTGATTAAAATGGGGGACACCAGACTCTCCATGCTTACAACGATGATACTGATCAGGTACTCTGGCAACTTACGAGCAGCCTTGCTGACAGGGGCGGGCGAGAAGAGTCCGCTTGACGTCAACCGCAGCGACGAGCACCCAGCAACCTGCTTCGACCGTTTTGTAGCGGGCAAGAAAGCAGCAATGCTGCGCGTGGGGCGATGAGAGCAGACGTTCTTTCCTACTGGAGAGACAGCAGATCGGATGTGGCAACAAAGGGGCACACAGCCAGTTGCGGCAGCCATCGAATCCTGCCTGAGGCTGATGAAGATCTATGGAAATGCTGATTACAATTAATACAGGGAGAAGCGAAGGGATCAGCAGACCCAGCTCCAGCTGCATGCAGCAGCACCACAAATGTACGTATTCGCACTTCTTTTGCAGATCCTTTACAGGCAATTTTTCAAACCGGGCACCCCGAAAGTGGTCGGTAGAATCCTTAACCGGCCGGTCACCCCGGCTCTAATACTACCCTACCAGCCCGGACAACAGTCGGTAAACGTACACTGTCCCCGAAAATTCACCCGCTTCCCATCCCCTTCCAATTCAAAGGCTTCCGAGTCATGCTGAGCGCTCCTTTGCCAGGGTGATACTTCAAGGGTAGGATATACAAGGCGCAAGAAAAGGGACGGTGGTTGGATGAAGAAGCTTCACATGTCAATTCTAACTTTGAAAGAGAATCAGTTGGCCATCCTGGCGCCCCACGGATCATCCGCTTTGCTACATTGACGACGATTCCTGGTCACGTGAGTAAGTGCAACTGTTTGGATCGTTTGGAAGGATTGCTCAACAGCCTCGAGTTGGTGTTTTATTGCACAGAAAACAAGTGCAATGGGTTGTAATCTGAAGTCTGTGCTGGGTGGAGAAGCTCTAGACTTTAGTGGTGTAGTCAACAACCCGTCTGGAACTGTCAACACCGGCTTCATATCTGTGCTGCTGGAGCCGTTAGGTGGAAATTCTTCTGAGCTGCTTTGGATGAACATGATTGCCTGCCTTTGCTGTGTTGTTAATCTTTCTTGTGTAATGATGGCAGTGGTTATTCAGGGACTTGTGTGCGGAACTTCAGCCAGTGGTAGCCCGTCCAGACTTCCTTAAATGCTGCAGCGTTCGCCTTTTGTTCTGCCACTTTGCAGCACTCATCTGCAACTTTTGAGAGGACGTCGCAAGTCTGAATTGACCAGATTGCCCCTCGGAATGGTTCAAACTGGGCAAAGGACCCTGATTGGCATACCGAAGCAGTTGTAAGGTGGCACCCGGCAGGGAAAAGCATGACAGCAGCGTCTGGTCAGAAGAGGAACCAGTCGCTTGATCACCGTAGGGATAGAGCAGAGCTGGCCCAATTCATTCCACCACCTTTTTTGCCTGCCGCCATCCTTTCTTGTCGTCACCAATCAAGTTGTAAGCAAGAAGTCTTTTATGGATCTTAGGGCACCCAGTCATTGCACGGCCGCTTCCCTGTGCAGGAACTCGAAAACCCCCTGACGGAACGAGCAACCAACGCCATATGCATAGATAGTGGTAGAGAGAGCAGGATCAGACCCAGTGTTACTTCCCCCTCTAGTGAGCAGATAAGGGCAGTCTGTCACGCTGCTGCTGCACTAAGCTTGGAAGGGGAGCCGTAGTCAAGCGGTGGTGCACCTTTCTCCTCTGACAGTAGCGGCGAAGCATCACTGCCCCCGCACTGCACTCAGAGCGCAGTTACAATCACGTCGAAGCCACTTGCGGGCAGGGGACTGGATTTGCGGAGACAGGAAACGCCACCAGAATGGTGAGTGATTCCTGCTGTTGCTTTTAAGTGCTGCGGATAAAAAGGTGTTTGCACGCTGTTGGCGAATGGCTGTGTTGATGAGGGCTTTGCTGCTCAACAGATGGGCCACACAGAAATACCGATTGAACAATCCGCGGAGGCACCTTATTGTGAACTTCTTGACAACTTTTTCCCAATGTTAATGGGCAAGAGTGTCCTAACCTGGCCTGTTGTTCCTTCTGAAGGCTTCTTCCTCTTCAGGCAAAAGATGCAGAATCGTGCTACGTCGAGACAAACATTCTTCGTTTCTGACTATCAAGACACTGTGTAGCGTAGCCACGACTGACTTGGTTTTCCATGTCTGCACCTTCGTTTCAAGTGAAAGGGAATACAAGAGATTGTTTCTCCCTTTCGGGAGATGTTGACCAATTTTTGCAAGAACTCCTGCTCCGAGAAAAGTTCGACAGGAGGCTTAGATCAAACTTCACCGCGAGCTGCTTGCCACACACCATGGCGATTGGTTATTGAACCAAGATTGAGGCAACTTTTGTATATCGTGTTGGGCACAGTCGTTGGCTAGTGGCTACTGTAAATACCACGCTACCGACGGTTTGTGGGTTCCGTCTTTCGCTGTTGCAGAAGGAGTCGGGGAAAGAGAACAGGACGGAAAATCACTTCGTGGTTGAGTGTACTGATTGTGAGAGACGATGTCGCGGCACAGTCGAAGTCGAGGTATGGTGAAGTCGGCCCTCCAACAGTTTGTTCAGGGGCCGCCAGAGTCTTGCTTCGTAGTTGCAAAACCTCACAGCAACTGAACGACGTGTGTTGTTGAGTGCAGTTGTTCTTCTCGTACTTCAAGGAGCTAGTCGGGAAAGAAGTCACGGTTGAGTTGAAGAACGACCTGGCGATTACGGGCGTCCTCCATTCAGTGGATCAATACCTAAACATCAAATTGGAAAACACGAAAGTCGTCAACGAAGCAAAGTATCCACACATGGTAAGCATCAACTTCCGCTCTACGCCTACCAACGCTTGCTTATCTGTGCCCTTGACATGCGGGCGCTTCTCTAAAGAATTCTGATAGAGTGGTCCCAATCGAGGCTGAAACGGGTCCTTGGTTTGTAACGTCCACAGTTTGCCCCGGCTGCATAGTACACCACTTTGCTGAGCCCTTGGTTGCTGTCATGTGCAGCTTTCCGTCAAGAACTGCTTCATCCGCGGTTCTGTAGTTCGATATATCCAGTTACCAGTAGACGGGGTAGATGTAGACATCTTACACGATGCGACTCGAAGAGAAGCCCGAGGAGGTTGAAAGCTTATCGGGTGTTTGTTAAAGCCGAATACTCCCAGCTTACAGCAGCAGCTTCGAATGCCATTGCCAAGATGGCCCACAGGTGCTCGCGCACTGCTATGATGCAGCAGAATGTCCTTCAGTTTTTTAATGTCATCTCTGGTCAACAACAAACAACTCCGACCAGTTACTGTCCGGCAACATACAATTAGAACCGGGCGGAGCCCTCTGTAAGCTGAACTTGCTGACATCATATAAGCTGCTTGCCGCGGTATTGAGGCGCGTGCATTTGGCATCATTGATCTCATTAGATCATGAACTTCAGTTGAGAATTCATGAAGTTGAGATATAGCTGCCAGATTACCATGTACGCCGGTACAACTCATCAATTGTGCGCGTTGACATGATTCGCGCATGAAGCACATGTGCAATCACAGCGCGCCGGTCGTGGCTGACATGGAGCGCCGCATGTGCGCGTATATATCGCCAACATATCATACATGCAGATTTCGTAATATGGTCATAAGCTGGCACTAGCTGTGCGCGACGTATCATGTGATAATGATCATGTTCGAAGCTTGGCTAGCTAAGCCTATGTGCAGCTAGAACTAATGCATGGTCTCCGAAGTGCGTTGACAGATTAAGCGCTCGGTCAGCCTCCACTGTCGGGAGCTACCGGCCGTAGCTGTCTATGATATCTAGGCCCTTCCGGCAGGCTGTGTGCGCGTGCATGCCACTAAGTGGCATCTTCATAAGTCCGGCCGAACAGGGTTCGACCATGTGCGGACTACTAAGTTAAGTGTGCGATTTGGTGTCCTGGTGACCATTACAATCCTAGCTCCCAAAATGATCTCATGCATAACAATGTGAAGATTAGGTAACTGAGAACTCTGTTGGACCGACGTATTTGAATCATAGTCAACCCGAAGATAAACCTCTTCGACCTTACTTGTCAGGGCTGTCGGGTTATTCCTAAGCAGCTTGTAAAACGTCTGTGACAGTTGCGAACCAAGGGTAAAACGTTGCCACTTGAGCGCAGACGTCGTAGCCCCACTTTGTTGTCCTTTCCTGTCCAGCCTCTTGCTACAAAAGTAACTCTCCAGATCAAGTGCACTGCCAAGGACTAAGCCAGCTGCTGATCCCTCGGGTCTTCTAACTTGTCGACTTCGTCGTCGTATTTGATCAAAGCGAATGAAGCTAGTTGACGGACCTGCAAGCTCGTAAACGATATTAATCTCATGGATCGAGCAAGTTTCCGTCTGGAGGAGTGCAAAGAAAGGGGGCTCATGGTAGAGGCATGCCTCCAGAATGTCGGGTCGTCAAGGTTGAAATGCAAAGGAGTGGAAATACGAGAATCGTTTGAGCAGTCCGGATATGCGGACCTTTTACGCACCGTCAACTGTCATACTCACAGGCCCTCGATAACAAGACCAGATGGGTTCTTCTGAACAGAAAAAGGACGACGGTCTGGTAGCGCGACACAGATCGCAGTGACCGGTACGAACGGCTGACGCAAATGGTTACTTACGTCTCCTGCTCCAGGGCGGGGATCGATGTGCTTCACTCCACTCAGCACCGACCGCAAGACCTGGACCCAACTCTGGGCCGCGTCGAGGTCGTCAGCAAGCGCGGGCAGATGACGGAGGTACACGTCAGCGAGCCGGAGCTGGGTCATGAGGATGACGCAGTCCGCGTCCTTGAAGTTGACGGGCTTGAACAGGGACACGACGCCGCGCACCGACTTCTCAACCCGCTGCAAGGTGGGAAAGAATCGAGGGGGCTCGTCAAATGTCAAACAGCAGTCTTACGGTGGAAAGCTGAATTCCCTCCCTCTCAACTGAACGCTTGTGACGTCGGGCCCAGGGCTCGTCAAGATCGCTCTTGCGTTGGAAGGGACTCGGACTGGCTCGACCGGAACTTTGGTTCTTGTTGGCGACATCAAATACTTCTATGAGAGATAGATTTGTAAAGGTGGTTGAAATAGGTCCACGAGCGAAGCCTCTTGGGTCAAGCAGAGCAAGCGCGTTGGCTTCACATTCCTAACAATATGCATAAGGGGCATGCGCGTGCCACAACGCGGAAGTTACGCTGCTTTTGTCTGTGTGCTGATTATCCGCAATGCGGCCGACGTGGAGCACTCACCGTCTTCTTGAACATGTCTACCAGCAGTGCGAAGGCCAATGCGCGCTGCAGGTCCAAGGAGCGGGCGGACGCGCACGGCCAGCTGACGACGATGCGGACGTTGTTGATGTACCGTCCGCTCAGCCTGCGGACAGGGAAACCGCATCAGCAGACTGTCAATCGCGTTCGACATCAATATTGGCCTAAACGGCGTTCATATATTCGAGGGGTAACGTCGCTCGACGGGTCGTTGCCTGCTGAACAATGACTGAATCCATGTCAGCTACTTGCTTCAGGTCTCTCGACTCCTTGCATCGGACGCAAGCATCCAGCCCGGTCAAAAGTGGGGAGACCTATAAGGGTCAACGCGTCTCCTCAACCAGGGTGCGAGATGGTTGTTTTTTTGGCTAGCTTTTACCAATGGCTGGTCCACTAGCACGTGTATCCTGTGACTGCGCGGACGAGAGCGACGTGACCTTGGACCTAGGAAAAGCCCTGTCCAAGGGAAGAGAGAGGAATTTTCCGCACCTTGAGAGCGTCTTCGTGAGCCTGGGCCCCACCGCCTTCCACTCCGAGTCCGTGAAGCTGTCGGTCAGCGCTTGGATTGCGGCTTGCAGGGTCTCCGTCGCGAAGACGAGCTGGTGATCGAGCGACGCCCGCGCGAGCAGCACGACCAGGCCTTCCGTGTCCTTGGCGGAGAAAGTGCCAATGGTCGACCTGCGCGGACAAGAAAGCTAAGTCTTACTGCAGGTTTGCCAGGCCTGGCCGCCTAATCAAACTCTGCTCTGAGACCATCGCAGAACTTGGCGAAATTGCGGAAAACTTATGCCGTCTCGATGGGTGACATCCAGGTTGATGAATGGCTTCATATTCAGCCCAGTGGGCAAAGTTTTGCAAACAGGTGTAACGAATCTACGCAAGGGCAGGCGGCTATGATTGACCGAACGTGCGGTACAACGAAGTAGCAGAGAGCCTGGTAAAATACAAAACAATTTTAAGACGAGACGAAAATTAGTATCCGGAGGTACTGCCTCTGCAAATGGCCAGTGTTCAGACATGCTAAATACCTCGTCAATAACTTTGGAGACAAAAGAGGGGCGAAGAATCGTCCAGGACGCGAAAGTGCGCGAAACTGCACTGGCAAGAAGCAGAAAGTCTGTTCCAATGATTCACATCCGACAGTGGGGAAGGTCGCCTCCCTCACCTTGCCGTAGCCAACACTGTGATGAGCCGCAGAAGGGAGCAGACGTTCGAGGGAATGCGTTCGCGATGCTGCTCATCTGCCAAAGCAAGGAAAGCGTCAGATCCTGCAACGACGGACATCTGCTGACTTTGCAAGGCTCATAATTTAGGAGCGTCTGATGCTCCGTGGAGTGCTCGAGTGCGCTCCTAAGGCTTGTTGCTTTCGTCCTGTTAACCGCAGGCATGTTCATCAAGGTCCTCGGCAGTAACTTCAAGCAGCGACAACTCGATGAAGGCAGAAGACCTCGGCTTCTACCACAAGGAGCAAAACCATCATAGGCAAAGTCCAACCTTCCTTGATCAACGTTGTGGAGAGTCACTGAAGAGAGTCTTCCACCCATCCGTAGACTGCTCAGACATTCTTATGGTGCGCGTGACCAAAATCCTACTTGTCCTCCAGTGCTGCCTTTGTAGTACCGCCAAGTAGGAGATACGGTACTTCTCAGGCCAAACATTGCTTTGGTATGTACCGTTCTGACCACGTGCATCCACTGAACCATTCAATCGGCTCAAAGCTCAGAAAAGATTCGGAATGCTTTCGCGAGATTTTCGGTCGATGCGAACCGTTGCGCCGCTCACCTGCCTGGGTCACCCCACTCGGTCCTGCCTCGCCCTCGGCATCAGAGTCATCGCTGATGTCAGCCGACGCTTCCCCCACTGCCTTCTCAACGTAGCCATAGGCATTGAACACTTCGCGAAAGTCGCTCAAATTGGGCACCCAGCCTAGGTCGAGCCGCGTTTCTCGGGGCCTGTCTAGGAAAGAAGCGCCGCATGTGCTGCTTGTAAGGTACGCGTCCGAAACGCCAGCGAGTGCGGCGACCTGTGAGTCGATGGGGCAGTGGTTTTTAGATTGTTCGCATGAAAATTGGTGAGCCTGCAGGCGTGCTAACCGGGTGAATGGTGGGGTGTCGCAGAACAGGAAGGCCCTGTCGATAACGATGGCAGGGGGCGTTGACAGCAGAAAAGGGGGGAGTGACAGTCCTGTGATGGAGTCTCATTCAGCTCTGAAGGCAGCAGGGACATTGGATAGGTTCAACCGATAAGTGGCCTTCTGCACATGATGAGAAATACCGTACGGTTACAGAATCGCGAAAGAATCTAATGTCCCTTCTAAGGTTGCAATGTTCCCTTCGTGCAGCATTCGCAAGATCTGCTCGACCGCAACCCAAGTCTTTAGTCAACTTGAGTTGAGGGGGCAACCAATGCTTTCTTAGCTATTGCCTGCAGCCACCTTGCTCAACTCGAATTCAAAGTCTTGGTGTCTATGTACTTGCGACAAATCTCCCAACCAAGCTGCTCGTCAAATGATTGAGTAGAGGTTGAGGTGTACCTTGGAGCCGCCACCAATGATGTCAGCGAGCAGACAGAAAGCAGCCCTCTCAACCATGTCCTCCGGAGAATAGCACACTGCAGCAAAGTAAGTAAAGACGTTTGAACTTATCCTCACTCATAACTCAAATCCAACGCAGGGAAGCATGACCCTTCTTTTTGAAATGCTCGAACATGCTGTATGCATGGCATTTAATTGCGCCAGCACCTTAACAGCCGACATGTTCCCCGCTTCTTGACTCGTGTTTACCAACTCCGACATCTTCACAGAGGAGAGAGCAGGTATCGCTATTTTTTGTGCGTGGAAACTTACCCAGATTGAAAAGCCACCTGAGGGCCTTTGAATCAACCGACAGCTTGTTGAAGAGGTGTGCTCGAAGGCCGCCACCAGTGAGCAGCGCCTTCACAACCTCTTGCTTTGCCTCTGCAAAATTCAGAAGAAGTCTGAGTGGGTCGTTTCAAGAATCAGAAGGAGAGCCTAGGTCTACAAATGTTCATGAATGAGTTTCCATAGCAACCAAGTTTCTGTGCACAATCACTGTCTTCGTGTTCCTAGTTTTCGTCCTACATGTCTGATAACCTCTTTTGTAAATGTACAGGCTACTCACCGGTGCTGCTTTCCTCCATCTCTTTCAACACAGCAGAGGTTTCAAACCAGATATCGGCGTCGTCAGGAGCTACCGTATCGAGCACCTCCTCTAACCTGTGCCCGTGCTGAATGGGTCCCTGAGTGAGGACAACGAATCGTAAGAAGCTGTATGAGAATCTGATGCAAATCTGCTTAACGGTCATGTCTTTGGAAATGCTGTCTCTGATAATTAATGCATTTTGAAGGCCCGGCATCAATGAATCATGATTGCAATCCAGGACACTCCCGAGCAGAGGACCTGAAAGATCAGGCTTATGTTTACAGGACTAAAACTAGGTTCAGTTCCCATGTTATCATGCGGCTATCATCGTACCTGTCTATTAAAGTGAGTTTCTCCCCACTTTGGCAGCGCCGCTGTGTCGTCTTCGCCTCCTTTCATACGCTTCATCTGCAATAAGCAAGGATACATAAGTAAAACAGGTGCACTGCAGAAGATGACAGTCGTATGTGAGATGCACAAGGCCAACAAAGTCATTGCGCAATGAACGACTAGACAGAGCAGCTTGCTTGCAGAATACATGAGTGCCACCTTTGCGACAGGTGACATTGAGCAGAGTAATGCTTACGTAGCTCGCAACCTCTTCAAGCTTTTCCACAATTGCATTGTCCTTCTCAGTCTTCTGTTCAATTTCCAGATCACTCTCATCGCTGCTCTCCACTTCTGCTTTCTCAACCTGTGCAGCTGCAGCCTTCTTTTTCCTATCATTGAGGAGGCGTTCCAAAGCGCTCAAAGCTTTTGACCTGTATGAGGATTCATCGTGGTTCAGCACTCGTTTGCATGCACCATCTGAGAGCGGCTCCCGAATTGGTAGAGAAGCAACAGCTGGACTAGAAAATAGTTTTGGACCCCGACAGAATCTTTATCATTGACCGTCAATTGCATTTTTATTTCATTCTGAACAGACATGGCCTGCGACTTGGAGAATGAAATAGACCCAGGCCAGCTATGGCAAGATAAGTCAAACAAAGAACCGCAGTGCAAATTGCATCACAACACACCATTATTTCAGAATAGCACGGTAGGGCGCGACAAGGCGGGCTGCGGCCAAAGAAACACAAAAGGAACGACTTACACAAACTAATGCAGTGCGATTTTGCCAATTGATAGACAGAAGATGGGGCAATAGCACTTGCGATCTCTGGACCATTGGCAGGGCCCCTTTGTGCACACATACATTTCCAAAAAGCGCAAACTCTCTTTGCGTTCTAACAAGAAGGGCAGGTGCAGCAGATGAAGTGACAATAAGAGGACTGAGGCCTACGTGTCTGCATTGCTCCCAGTTGATGTCTTCCTGCCACCACCTTTGGCCCCGCTCATTGCTGTCTTGTTCGTTGCCTTGTCTTCCAAAGGTTCAAAATCTTTCAAGGCAAGAGTTCGAACAGCTCCTCTTCCTGATCTACCAACTCCACGCTTGGCAGGACTTCCGGTCAAATCATCTTCTGCCTTTGCCTTTCCCGCTCGTCCCATTCTTCACACAAGCGGTGAGTCCCAGACAGAGCACCCAGACCGCAGCTAGCCAGCAGCGAGGAGGTCCCCCTTTCTTCCAGCTTATACCAATCACAAAAAGCGCCACTGATTTGGTACTGTTGCAGATGTTGGTCTAGCTGACAAGCTGGCCAGTGCCCTACAACTTACGCGCAAGCTGATCCAAAAAGGTGAACACCATGGACTCATCTTCCAAGCCCCAGGGCCAAGGAAAGCGCAATCAATCAGATTCAATGTGTTTCTCAATGTAATACTGTATTAATGTCGGCGCAGCATGACCCCAGCATGATGGCGCTTGGCGAGCTAGGTAGGTAGTACACATTGTGTATCTTTCAGATTCGGGCTCGAGGTTCTTCAGGCTGGTCGTTGAACTTGGTTGAGTTTGTGGGCGCAAACTAGTGTACTGATTCTAGAAAGCATCATTTTTCTGAGTCTTTCGTACTTTCTCCCGCCAGAATGGAAAGCTTCGGCGCCGTCGATGAAACTTTCCCAAGTTCGTAGACGGTACGATCTCTTTCTGGGGACGCTTGGTGAAACAGCGAGTCGTTTGCTCACGTTGCTTCATTCTCTAGGCAAGTGCTGCAGCATACCTTACTACGGTACCTATTATTAGTATCATTGCACAACCGAAGAACGCTCCGCAATTCCAATGCTTGCGCATCTCGTTCAAGGCAGCGCCACTGCCTCTGGCCAGCGTTTTGATGATTGACTCGGAAACAGAAAATGGTGCCAGATACCGGACCTGATTTCCAATCCGCTTGTGATTGTCAACAATTTGTAGATACAGGCGGCGTCAAATTCAACATCGTCTTGCCCAGTGAGTTTGTTTTGACACCGACTTTTCCAAGTTTAGCTTTTGGGCACTTAGCAATCAAAAGGGGCACGATTTGCCTGTCGGATTAGTACTGACTTGCCTCCTATGCGAACAATTCGTCAAATTTGCACGCTTTCAAATGGACCTAATCTCTGCCAGAAGGATCGTTTGCTCGCTTGGACGCTTGAAGCGGGGCACTGTCAGATGACGGTAAGTGCACGTTTTGGGTGCCAACTTGTACCAAAGTAACGAGGAGTCTGCCATCGTCATGACGTTCTAGTACACCGTCCCTGCAATGCACATAGGGCTGCAAAGGAGGTACTACCTGCCTCAGAGACTGCGAAGGTGCTGAACCAGTACTCGAACGGCACGTGTCATTCTTCTGCGATCGAGCAGTCCAATCAGACATTTGGTCTCAATATCCTTGCTCCACTTTGAAGTTGAAGAGCCAAGGTTGGCTGCTTGAACCTCCTTGAGCAGGTCCAGGCAGAAACGTTAGCTTCCGCATGAAGCGCTGCGGCGCCCAGAAGAGGCAACAGGTGAGTGAGCAGGAAGCCTTCTGCATTGGATATATGCCTGCATGCGCAGCATCTAAGCACAGACTGATGGGGACGGCTTCTTCGTGTGGGACCTTTGGACGAGTCCTTTGCAGAAAAGGAGTGGGATGTTGAAGATCTGATTTAGCAAGATTGAAGTGGCTACTCGGACGGAGATGCAGCACTTACAGTCGGTTGGCTAGCGCCTCGTAGATCCAAGGGGCTGGGTGGTCTCCTCGATCGCACGTCTTGCATCAACCTGCACAGAAAACTGTTGAAGCATGCTGTGTTTTGGCAGAGAAAGTAGAATGGATGATGAACACGGCGCCGCGGCATGTACTGGGGAAAATCATCATTGTAAAGCTTGACTAAGAATTCCAAAGCAGCAGCAAGGCTCACTCCTCCATTTCAAATCCTGTAGACGAACCAGCCTGTCGGAGATGGCTGGTGGCCAGCCGCCGGCGGGCCCCGCAAACCACTCTGAGGAGTCTGCAATTGAGAGTTTCCTGTGAGTATCTTTTGGGACAAGAAGGTCTGCATGGTGCTCTTGATGGTGCAGATCTGCAAGATCTACTATGTTTCCAAGAGTCTCCAAGTTCTAGTTGCTCTCTGATATTCATGTTTGTGGAAGATCTCGGTGCAGTGGTCATCATAGAAAGTCCAAAGGAGAGTTTTTCAAAAATAAAGTTTCGTCTGGGATATCCCGACTTAGTATTAAAGATCAGTCCAATCCAAAAGATGAAGTCTCGATCAACCTGATGGCAAGAATTCAAGGTCGCTTAATGTCTGAGCTGACTTACGGCACCTCCTTCATGTGCTCTGTTTCGCTGAATGAGCGAGACGCATGTACCTTGCAGCAGGTTGACTTCGGGGAGGATCCTGCCTTCTTGACAAATCCTGAGCTCCTTTGATGTCCAACTTCTTTCCTTCTATGTGCACGCTGTAGCTGGCGCCAATTGGTCAAAAGAACCATTCAAAAAACATTGATTAGTGATCGTGTGTTTTGAACCTCTAACTGTTTTCTGTAGGCGGATACTGGAAGATCACAGGCGCGCTTGTGAGGCCACCGGCAAGTATGTGGAAGCAGAGGTCGCCAAGAAACGAATTGTAGAACTAAGAGCAGAGTGAGTTGCATTCCTGCTTCTGATCCTCGCTGCACTCTCTCCCGTTTGCCCCTGCTCAAGTGTTTGCCAATTAGCTGTATTCCACAGAGCAGTGTTCAATCTAGATGATGGAGCGTTGTCGAGCAAAGTACGGAAGTCAGCACATCAAGTTCACAGCAAGATCGAAGGGTCCAATCAACGAGAAACTAAGGGTATCAAAGATGGTACGCAAGGGCCAGCAACTCCTATTGTGGACAAAGACCAAGGAAGTCCTCCGAAGAATTTGGAAATGCTACTGAAGTCCCGGACAGACAGTTGATGGTTAGTATGACAATGAAATTTCTAGCCAGTCCACTAAGTTTGTGGAAAGTATCGCGTGCAGCCACGCCAACAAGAAGCGGGAGGCGTTGCGCGCTCGCCAGGTCAAGGAGCGCCTCGATCTGGAGGAGGCGCAGATCCTGGAGTATGAGCACTTCAAAGCGCGTTGGGCCAAGTCGCTCAAGGAGTTTGACGACAAGGCCGCCGAGCAGGCCAGCTCTGCCAAAGTGAGCCGCTCATGCTTTCACTCTGGTGCACCCACACGTGAGCGAAGCAGCTCGCGACTGTATCATGGGCGGGACACCATATTTAAGGTTTGGGATGACCTTTATATCACGTATCATCAGCGTACTTAAAGCTGTGTCGTCCTTCCGCGAGCACTTTCATTCCATCTACAACACTTCTGTGAAGTCCCAAGACGCACTACGGCGGAATTTAGCCGCGTAAAGTCCACACGTGCTGTTGTCATCGTGCCCTCTTGCAGACTTGGCCAGCGAAGGGAAGGGTTGATCGATCGAGCTGCTGGAGAAGTCTGGAGTGGCAGAATGTCACCTCGACTTGAGCATATCTTTGCCGTCCGTTGCTTGCCGCTGATGTCATCAGACCTCTTCGGCAGGACCGCCAAACAAAGGGATTTGATCGAGCTGCGGAAGAAGTCATTGCTGATGGACTCTCCAAGACGTCAACCTAGTTCTCCCAACTCTCCTCCGCCAATGTTTGTTGCTTGCGGCTGACACCATCAAGAATCTTCGACAGGATCGGCAAACGGAAGAGCTGCTCGATCTGCGGGAGAAGCACGAGCGGGAGCTCGCGGACGTCCGGCCGAAGCCGAACAAGGAGATCCTGAACCTGCGGAAGATTCAGGAGATCCTCGCCAAGCAGAAGGAGTACATCGAGGCGCAGAAGGTCAAGGCGAAAGTGGACCAGCTGGTGAGCGCCTCAAACAGCGTCCACAAACATTTCGAGCGCTCTTTCTGTGCGGACGCTCCGTTTCCTCAGAGAGCGTCCGCAAGCTTTGAGCGCTCTGTCTGTGTGGACGGTCCGTTTCCGTCCCTGATAATCTTCCAAACGGAAGCTCGTTTCGTGGACCAGCTGGTGAGCGTCCGAAACACTTCGCGGACGCTATTTCCGTACTGACGCTCTGTATCTGCAAAGCTTTCCCCCCCATGCGAATGTACGGTATCAATAAACATTTCCCTGTGCTGACGCTCTGTCTCTGCGAATGCTGGTGCTGTTCGACGTCCCGTCTTGGGGAACGGTCCAATCTGCGGACAAGTCTTAGTGCAGATACTCGGTTTCTGCTGGCGCGTACCCTTTGCGGACGCTTCTCGTTCTTGCTTGCTGTTTTTAGGGGGACGCTCTTCATGTCCGGACGCTGGTCCTGTACGGACGCTCCTGTGACGCGGTGCTTTCTCCGTCCGAACGGTCCATCTGTGTACGTATTGGTGGACGAGCTCTGACAGGACCGCGCGCGCTTCCATGAAACAGTGCGCTTCCTTTGCGCAACTCGAAGTTTTCCGTTTTCATAATTCTTTTGCCTCACCCTCACCACCCATATCTCCGTCGTGAGGATCTGACGAAAAGGCTCCTTTCCCGGCGCGTATGCAGGAGCTGTTAAAAGCGGGCAGGGCACGTGCCGCGCTGACGGGAGCTAGTGCGCTTCAAACGAACAGAGCGCTTCAGTTGCAAAGAGTTTTTGGCCATCCATCTCGACTTTCTTTACACCACACAACGAATCACAATCTGGCACCTCGCGACAACCCTCGTTTTCGACCTATATGCAGGAGTTGTGAAGCGGACAGGGCATGTGCCCTGCTGACAGGAGCTACTTCGCTACAGAGGAATGTGCGCTTCCGACAAGACGACTCATGGACCCTATTTTCGCGCTTATGCAGGAGGCGTTGGAAGCGGACAGGGCACGTGCCCTGCTGACGGAAGCGATCGCGCTCGCGGAGGAGAAGGTGCTCGCGCGGCAGGCCCAGGAAATGGAGGGCCTGCTCAAACGGCTGATGGGCGCGCGCGACGACCTTTTGCGTCAGCGGCAGATGGACCACGACAGGTGCGGCACTCAGATCTTTTGTAACGGGGCTTCCCCTGCTTTTCCAAGCCGTACATCAGACTTTCAATACGACGTTGGCAGATCTCATCGCACGCTATGTGCGAGTGTAGACGGTATACACCGAGATGTCGAGGGTCCGGCGAGTTTGGCAAAGTTCTGCCCCACCTGATGACTGAAACCTGAATTATCCTTGAAGGAGTCGGGCACCTTCAAAGACTCCCTCCGCATACGTGACAAATGCGACGCAATTAAACTCTCCGTTTTTCAACTCCGTCCCTGGGTCAATCTTGTCACGATGCGCTTCTCCTCCTAGCATTTTTGACTTTGGTAGCGCAAGAGTCTTCAGCTCGGCCGCTGATTGGGCTCCAACATTGATTACATTGGGGTGGATTCTTTTCATGCAACCGATCGCTGCCGTAAAATGGCCCATCTATCTGGTCGGCTCACAAATCCAGACTTGAATGATGCGGCACGGATAACAGTGGGTTGAGCACAATCCGTGCGACTCTTCTGACAGTCGTTATCGTCTACCATCTCGCAGAATTGTCCAGAGGCACCAGAACGGAAAGCTCCTCCTCGAAAAGAACCAGGCGCTCGACCGGCAAAAGATCGAAAAGCACCTCAAGAGAGGCTCCACGTCGGTGCCAAAGGTAAAAACCCTAAATTCTATCCCCTACAAACCCACGTTTTGCTTCCAAGGTGTGGGGCCATTGTCGCTGGCCCTGTGATCAAAACAGTGGAGAAACCATGAAATATCTAGAGACGCTTCATTCCTCTTCTTCCGTATATACGACTTAGACCCACAATGCGAGAGGTGTTGCTTTTACCTCGATTGCCAAGTCGGTGAAACGCTCATCAAAAGAAGCTCGGCAAGTTATCAGGTGGTCTGGCTTGGCTGACACTGACCCATAAGGTAAAGTCAATGATCCAGATCGACTTGGAAAGCTGCGCACTTACGGGCCTCATTTTCTGGCTTTGCAGGGGGTAGTAACGGCGCCAATTGACGGAGGGCGGCGCTCGAAAACGCCGAACAGCCTAAGACGCTCCGCTGACAGTCCCTCGCCGGTACGTGTATCCGTCCGAGACCAGGTCTATCGGGAAGTCCTGCACTTAGAGCAGGACTACTTTAGAATGTATTTTGAACCCTCCAGACGAGCTGAACTTTTTCATTGGGACACTTAAGATCGACAGATCATCCGTTCAACAGTCTGAAAGCTAGTTGACTCGGCTAGTTGACTTGCTTCATCTGTTGACCAATTTCATCGTAAACCTATCGTAGCCTCCTTTAGAGGCACCTGTTAAAGTATTTGTGATACTTGTCGCTGCCTCCCAAGAAATTGCTTTGAAGGCGAGCTGTAATAAGCACCCGCAATTTGAGAAATCTAGATTCATGGTTTGTCAAAAGTCAGCCTTCTGACTGTGCTGCGTCAACCATTTTTGACGACTTCCTGAACAGATGCACCTTTCTTCCTCCAGGAAACGCGCAAATCTGACAAGTCCAAGATGACGAGCAAAATCTATGCCAGTTGGGACCAGTCACTGAAGTGATCCAAGCCAAGCTGTTCCCCAAAGTGAAGACCGTACGTAGTCAGTTTAAAAACATAAAATTGCTGGATCGCTGCAGCTGTGTGAAATACAAAGACTAATCTTATAACAAACTAATCTGTTGCTCTATCGTCCTTACCGCTGATCCTTTATACTGAAGTAGTTGATCGCAAGCCATACTCTGATCGTAGCTAGTCTGACAACGTCGCGAAATGGCGACCAGATTGTAGTCAAGTACGTTGAAACAATTGAAGTCACTTCCCACGTGTTGATTTGGGCGCCATTCGCGCAGGTTATATACTTCGTTCCAAAACATCTTAAGCATGCCTGAGAGCTCGAAAGCGGCCCTATATACTGCAATTTGCGTTCGAGTGAGCGAGGCGAGTCATTACGGTAACTTTTAGGTGAAGTAACACCTTAGCGACGTCAAGGTTGGGCCGCCGGCCCGGGGGACGGGTGGAGTCAGGTCGGTGGTTGGTGTAGGTTGAGCATGCGGACTCAGCGCCTGGTTTCTTGGGATTGAAACTTTTGGTTTGTAGGCTCAGGATTCATGAGTCGAAGTCGCTCAGCTCTGAGGTCACTCGACTGGCAGTAATACGAGTATCATGTGCAGCAATTCCTGGTTGCAGGCGTAAAATCATCTTCCTTTCGAATTGAATTCCGAATAGCATCAGCCTTCGGAAGCAGACTTACTTTGACAAATGGAGCGCATGGGCTGTCGGTTGACGTCGCTTGCTATGCGCACCTTCATTTCCGCGCGCCTGCCGCAAATCACTCTGATTAGCTGTGACAATACTTTTGCGCTACGGGATGCAATCACAATGATGTTCGTGCTTTGTGCTGGCGGAAAGCAGTGTCCCGCACGATAAAGGAGACCCAGGTTGACCTGCCAATTGGAAGGCTTAGCAAGATTCAGTGTCACTTCGTCTGGAAAACTTTCCGAGGATGCATGCGCCCGGTCAAGGAAGATGGGAATCCCAACCACGTTGACCGAGTCGGGACATGCTTGCTGCAAGCCCGCAACAGAATACTAAAGTGATAGGATCCACTTGAAGGGTGAGCCTAACTTCGATTGACGGAAGTATCATCTAGCTCTGAATCTCAATCTCGGATAATCTGGTGCGCTGACAAACGTGGAACACGTGGTTCCAGCCTGCCCCTGTTGACGCATATTGACCGGGTCCGCATATGCATAACGGCCCAGGGGTCGATTAACTCAAACACTTGAAGAGCTCGGCTTACGGTCAACGCAAGCCCCATCGTAATCGTGCCGCCGTGCCAGTCAGCTTGATTTTTTTTGCCATGCCAGAGTTGAGGGAGTGCCCACAAACAAGCCCATTCGGTGGGAGAGGATTGGGGCCGTCATGGCGGTCAAAGAATAGGTGCATGTCAAAGCGCAGACCGCTACCCAGAGAGAATATTAGAAAAGGAGGCACGGTACCTTGTCAATCCACGGATGTTCGTGGAAGGAATCAGGAGGGGGTGAAATTGTCTGTGCTTTGCATGAGCCGTTGCGCCTCTGGTCGGACGCCCAGCTGGCGGCCAGCTCGACCCGAGAAGATGGTACCACGCTGGGGAAGTATTAAGGGAGCCTATTTCTGAAGGCCCTCAGGAATAGATTCATCGAAGGTTTCGCTTTTTAAGAGGGACGCCTGGACCCTCCACAGATACGTGCATCCCGGCCGTTGTTTCCCCATCCTTTCGCAAGAGATGTGTGCCTTCCAACTCGAGGTAACAACACCTCAGCTATTCTCCTGAAATCGTCCGTGAAGAAAATAGATTTCCTGCAAAACAGTCTGTTTCTCGCAGAGACAGCAACGCACGAGACAGCCCTTTTCAACATTCATCAGCCACGCGGAGCAAATCTTACAGACATGGCGATCTCCTCAAAAAGCAGAAGGTACCCGTCTCCCTTTCCGCGGGCACTCGTCACTCTCTTCTTCGCGTTCCTCCTCTTCGCCAGGGCCGCTTCTCGGGTCCTACCGGAAGACTCAACCGGGGACCAAACCTGGAACCAAACCACGGTTAACCAAGCCGGGAATAACCAAACCGGGAATCAAACCAGGATCAACCAGATTGGAAGTGACCAAACCGGAAACCAAACCGCGGCCTCCAGCCGCCGGCGCCTTCTGCAAAGTAACAACTGGAGCCAACCGAGCAGCGGCCCGGTAGATGTGAACCGGGCGTATAAGGTGTTGGCAAAGTATGTGACGGTGGACATTGCGGGCATTCTCCTCAGGATGGCGTTCCACGACGCGGGCACGTATGATAAGAGCTCGGGCACGGGTGGCGCGAACGGGTCGCTCAAATACGAGCTCAGCAGGTACGTATAAAGTCCTTTTGGGGCAGATTGGTTTGTTGCACCAATCAACTTTACTTTCTGCGGTCCAAGCAACGTAGAAGCGAAGTCTATTGAGAAGAGTCCTTGATTTTTTGCACACAGATTCGTGCTTCAATGCGGTGCTCGAATCCAAATCCTGATTTTTCGACCTGACCGTTGCTACTTTGCGGGTTTGCTTATTCCTTTCATTTCTCTCCGTTCTTTCCTCTTCCCTCCGTTCATCTAGCATCCCTCTCCATTTTGCTTTCTCGGTTCTCCTGCTCTGTACCTCGGTTCTCCTCCTTCCTTCGTTGTCGGAAGGAATCATTTCACGACGAATTCGCTTAAAAGGCCACTCGAGCTCAGAGTTTGATAAGTTGGCTCTTTTCACCCGGCGCTGCTTTTATCATCCCTCTTTGACTTTCTCTTCTCGCAACTCCTCCGACTTTTTCCTGCTCCTCAGGGCCCTGAACGAGCCCATCTCCTCACACTGGTCCGTCATCGAGTCCATCAAGGGCGGCCTCCCTAACGTCAGCTACGCTGACGTCATCTTCCTAGCCGGTTTCTACGCCATCCACATCACCGGGGGACCCCTCGTCACGAGCGTCCGAACCGGACGCGTGGACGCGAGCGTCGCGGATCCGGACAACCGGCTCCCGCTGAGCTCATGGAACGCCGACCAGCTGACGTCACACTTCGGCGACGCGTACGGTTTCGGGTGCCAGGAGCTGGTCGCCCTCTCGGGGGCGCACAGCATCGGGACGTCGAAAGTCACTCCGCCTCTGGGCCCTATGGTGAGGCGTAAAGCTTGGGGAACAATCTACGTCTGCGTTTCGCTGCCCCTGGCCCCCCGGCTGTGACTGTAGTGTAATCTTGCCCTTGCTGAAGCGACCATCTGCGTGGAGAAGGCTGATATCGATCTTCTGTGATTGGTGGACGTTCTCATTGCCATGCGAAAAATCGCGTGCAGTACACGGATTTCTGATTTTCAGTGCTTCGATTCACCATGGATTTCGCTTTGCCTGGAATCTCCCATATACTACTTAATCTCCTTCGCTGTACGAACAGAACCTTTGACAATATCATGTGACGATGCATTCCGAAATGAAAATGGAACAGAACGGTCAAACCGAAGGAACGGAGTCATCGGTGATCGTTGAAACTTTTATAAACGAAGATTCCGTGAAGTATCGTTTCGTTAGCCGCTTCTTCCTACCTCTTCTGCATTTCGAACAACCGTTCCATCACGCTTTCATTCCAGATGGCCCTGGAATAAGCGAAGCCTTTAGCCCGTAGAATTCATCTGTCGAAGATTTCGCACGAATAGCTGTCCTTAAATGACAGGACGACACGTCGCGCGTCTTCGACGTGCGCTACTACCAGAAGCTCGTGAACGGCGGCGGGTCCTTCCCTTCGGACAAGGCCCTGTCCCAGAGCTCGGACACTAGCCCATACGTCCGCACGTACGCCGGCGACCAGGATGCGTGGTGGGCGGAGTTTGTCGACGCCCTCAAGAAGATAGGCGACCTGGGTGCTACCTACGAATCATAGAAGGTCCCCGAAGCTTTTGTCCAAAGCTGACAACATGTAAGGAAACGTACAAGCAGCCAAGGTTTTAAAGAAAGACTGGTTCAGAGGCTCGAATCCGGAGCGGGTAGAAACGCAGAAGAGGAGCATAAACCACCAAAGATCGCCGCAGGAAAGAGGCCAGCGGTTCGTCGATGCATTCAATTCGGGGCTTGCGAGATGCTCAAAAGGGTCAAGTTTTGGATAGTGATAGCACCCACCTAAGTTCCAGTATGAAGTCCATGTGTAACGCCCTCGTTCTCACGGTTCCCAACTTTGATTTTGTGCGCGGTGTGCCGTTCTGTTGAGAAGCGAACCGTGTTATCTCAAATTCCTGCAGCTGCATAAGACTGTCTCGAGCCTTTTCGAACCGGTCCGGTCGCTTCGTTTGCTCAGCAGAGGTGATTCTGTGGATCAACAGTGGCCCCGCTGCCGCCACTTTTCAGAGTTCATTCGAAGTTCATTGTTCGATATACGGGAGCTTCTTGGCCGGCCCGTCCAATATCGACGGCATGCTCGTCAACGTCAACAAGCCTCGTTTCGGCTTGGACCTTGATTTCTTCAAGGGAGCGGGCGTCGTCTTATGCGTACGTACATACTTCGCCAAGACAAATGGGAATGTGTCGGAGGATCCAATAGCGGTCCGACGGCTTTCAAACAAACTTGGTAAGAGGTTTGCGGGGTCAAGCATCTCGTTAAGTTTGATGATCTTGCAGCATCCAAGCGGAGTATCTTGCGGGGCGCTTATATGTAAATAGGTACTGCATGCATGCGCTAGCTGGCTAGCCGCATATGACTCGTTGGCAAAATGTTAATATTTGTGCACGCCCTTGATTCATGGACGCAAAGAGTGAGTCTCCAGGTCCGTAAGAAACCTTCGCTTCCATGACGGACTACAGTAGTTTAGGAATTATAACAGCCAGGTATAACAAGCTCCAACTAACACCAAAAAACCTAAACCCAACGATCTACCTGCTCCGCACCCGTACCCACCCTACCCCCCAAACTAACTCCACCCGTCCCAGGCTGGCGAGCTTATTATACCTGCCGCTTATCATTCTTAAATTGTCCGAATTTTCGCTTCCGGTCAACCGTGCCGTTGTCTTTAGGACACTTCAATCATCTCTCGCCGATGCGCTGTGCTGGTTTTGAGAACAAAACTTAGAATACTATTCTTTTATGATATCTACATTCAACGAACGCGTTCGCATGTTAAGCCCATCCATGAAATCCGAGCTTTATTGGGGTCATACTTTTCCTTCATGGCTCTTTAGCCCAGGTCCTAATAGCACAGACTGCGGGCCTGAAAGACAGCACTCTCTCTTCATTTCCGACGTCCAATGCAGCTGCATATCACACAGAAAGCCTTCGTAAGAACAGCTCCTGCTTTCGCCACGGTCTCAGAGTGCCGCCATGCTTCCAAGGTGGAAAAGTGCTCTGGGAACCAGGTTAGCCTTGAGAGCCACCTTGCCACCATGCTATAGCGTGTCAAGCACTGGGAGCTTTACTATCGACATACCTACATGCGGTCTAGAGGAGAATTGGAAGGAAAAAGTATCCCAAGAGTCAGGTATGAAACACCCAATCAGAAACACCCGGTCAACTAAATGAAAACTTCCTTTACAAAAAGCAGCGTCCAGTCTTCCTCACTATCGTTTGGTCCCCTCAAGAGCTCAGATCTTGGTCTTTTTCTTCTCCTTGGCCTCCTTGGCGGCGCGGATCTCTTTCAGTCTCTCCTTATCTTCGCATCTTCTTGCCACGAGGCGTAGCTCCTCGAAATCCCCCTTCCCTTCTGCATACCATTCCAGAAACGCCATGCGAGCAGGCTTCGTGGAAATCGTATGGACGCTGCTCAACATATCTAGAAGCTCTTCCTCGTTGATCTTAAGTGCGATGCTCGCCAAGACGCCAGTCTCAGGATTCTCCCAGCTCAGATCCCCTTTGCTGACGTTGACGTCACCTGTATACACAACATTTCTGTAGCGTTCCACAGCAGCATGTGGAAACTCTTCCAAAGCGGACACTACGATCATGGAGCCATCCTCCGTCAACCTTGGTGGTTTCATGCTGAAGACAATTGGCCACTGAGTCCCTTCCCTTATCTGCAGCAGCAACTTGTGGCAACGAACTGGGGGACCATCTTTGGTCAGTAACAGCACGTCTGCCGACTGCATTCCCTGCTCAGAAAGCAGTCCTTGGAGACTTGGAGCCAAGCGGTTGAGCTTGTTCAAGATCAAGCGACCCTCGACGATTGTCCCACTAGCTATTTTTGCTGAGTTGGGAAGGCTGACATTGCAGCCTTCCATGTTGGACTCTTGCAAAATCTGTACTGTCTTGCCATCAATCGTGAAGTTCGTTTGGAACATGATACTCGCCGGTTCCTTACCAGAGGGATACGGGGTTCCATTCTTATCACAGACTACGGCGCTGAGAACTCTGAGTCCAGAGTATACTTTCATTCGGAGCATGATGTCTGGATTGTACCAGACAAAAACTGCGCTAAGAATTTCGGAGCTCCTCGGTTTGATGGTGAAAGGAATTGTTGCGCAGCTAGTCGAACTGCGCAGCGGTGGCTCTGCGGCTGCCATTTCCTGAAGACAGTGTTCCCAGAAGCCAGCCGTTTTGAACCTCAAAAAGCAATTGAGTTCGTCGACTGTTTCGATTGCAGACCATATATTGCCACTCTCAGTCTGAGCGCGCCGGGGCCGCCCTGCACGGGGGCCGCGTACGCCGGTGCGCACTGCAGCCGCGACTCCCGCAGCCGGGGTTTCCAGGGGGTTTACAAGCCACAAGCCTTTCGGATCAGAGCTCCTGTTTCCAAGTATCGAACGGCTGTCAGAGAAAGTAACCAATGCCGTAGCGAGCGTCGATTCGACAGAGTTCTCAAGCTGGAACATCGTACGGCCCAGCTTGACCAGAGCTTATCAAGCTGCGCACAGAGCTGTCCTCACGTTTGCAAGTTCATACACCACAGGGCGCACTGCGGCAAGAGGCTGATCAGCAGTGAACTGTGAAGGCTGAAGAAGGCGTCTGGCTGTGAACGAGCGCTGGTGGAGTACCACCAGTAGGGCTTTGTGGGGTCAGGAAAAGCAACCCTTAAATGGGCAGAGGATTTAGTAGTCGCAGGGTTTCAATGGAGTGATCAGGGGCGACTTGAAGCAGAAAAGATGGTGGGCCTTCCAAAGGTTGGATTGCCCAAGCTGCCCTTTGGCGGGAAGGGGAAGGGCGAGGACGATGAGTTCCAGTATCGCAAGTTTGGGGATGACCGTGAGTATCCGACCTCAAAAACTTCTTCTGAGTCGTTTGGAAAGCGAATACCCTCGTTTTGTCATCAGAGTTTTGAAAGACCATTACCAAAGCAGGTCAAATGTTGCGCACGGCTTTGGCAGTTTTTTCTGTATGTCCGCACGTAGTCTGCACCAATGCGCAGGCTTTTGTGCCTTTCAATACCGATGTCCTTCAATGCGTCTGCAGCAGCTCTGATTCATCGAACACTAAAGCAGATTGCTTTGCACTGGAATGCTGCAATTGAGAGCGCCACACTCACATTGCATGCTCTGAGCATTCAGCTGCAGTCAAAGCCCCGCCACTTTTCGATTGCACATAAAAGCCTGACAAGTTTTGAGGCACCGTTTGGCGTGCTGCTTGCTTTCAATGCACAGCGCTGCCAACAGGACTCAGCAGACTCGTGCCAAAGCACGAGCTACTTGTGAATGCCATGTCGAGCTGACAAGCAGCGACATTGCTGCTAGGATATCAGAGCAATGGCATGACACCAGATTGCAATGAAAGAGATTTTGACTTGCTGCATGAATTGGCCCCTGCCCAGGGGTTGGTTGTGCTGCCTGGTTTCACAAAAGCAGCTCCGAAGAGTGGCATAAAGATGACATGGCATTCCTTTGCAATCGGGGTTGCTTTGACAGGACAGCGAGCATCCTTTTTCTGCAGACCGCCAAGCTTTGGCCAGACTAGTTGAGTACTGCGAGCATGTTCATGTTCTGTTAGTAGGAAGGTCATGCAAGCAAGTGGCAAGCGATAGCCAGTATCTGGCAGATGTCTGAAAGCTTGAGCTGCCGCTTAATAGGGCCAGAAAGGCAACTTCGATCCCGTCAAAAACATTTCAAAGTGCAGACTGCTGTATTTAAGCGCTTGCTCATCATCTGCTGGCTTCACCATGTTCAGTCCATTTCCTCGTTCTTACCCCGCGAAGCTCCACCAGTCTATTGCTTGGCGTACTACCAGTCCAATGCTTGCAACCAGCCTCTGTTTGATTGTTCCTTTGCATCCCTTGTCAGTTGCCTTGGCCTGCATTTTGACCAGCCGGTTAGCAGCTCGAAGACAGCCTTGGGCGCTTCTTTTCTTCCAGCCTTTCCGCCTTTGCTGCTTCGAAACCAAAGGGTTTGCTGCTGGGAAATTGCAGAACAAATGCAAGATGTCGCTCAGAGACTCTCAAGTCATCTCTTCCACCACTTCCATCCAGCTCACTGCGTCATATTCATGCAGCGACTGTCCTCCACCAGTGTCCCAACGTTTCGTCAGTTTCCTTTGGCCCGGCCTGTTCTCAACCTGTTCACAGCTTAGGTGGTCCTACAGACGTCCTCAAGCGAAGGCCCTCATTGCGTCCCTACCTCCCTATGTTACCTCCCTTCTGGCCCGCTGTGAAAGAACTTTCGTCTTTTTCCCTCACTCTTCCCTTCTCCAAGTGACAGTCCTCCAGCCACTCTATCCAAGCTCGATTGGGCCGGTCACTGATGTCCTGCTGAACACTCGTCAACTTACCTCAACATATACCAACCTGATCATTTGGAGGACTCCTATACCACACTTGCACTTCTCCTCATGATGGTGGTCAAGTACTGCTAACAACTTCCAAACCCTTCCCTCCTCGTTCCGTGCATGCAGCCAAGACCCGGCCGGTCAACGATGACCTGCTCGGGTACTCGGACTTCCAAACGGACCCGAGAAAGATGAAGCGGCGCACGCTGTCGCCGTCGGAAAAGGGAGAATGGATCGGCGGGCTGCAGGGGGCGGTTGCGGAGCGGCGCGCCTTCCGGCGGCTGCATGCGCGCAACTGGAAGTTGTGGGACATCTTCGATTTGGGGAGGCCGGTGGACGTTGCGTACATGTCGGGGGGGGAGGCTGTGCATGAGAAGTACTGGCGGAAATGTGAGTGGGATAGATGTAGAAACTAGGTTGCAAGCAGAGCTGGAGAAAGATTGTTGCATGAAAGTGCTTCTGATGGAGGTTACATGCATCAAGGAAGTGTGAGCGGTTTTCAGAAAGCTGCTGAATTGGCTACTTGCAATATCAGGGTCCCACTCTTAGATTCTTTGCTTATTTGTGCCCTCGTGCCATTTCGATTTTCAGCCGGGAAACTGAACTATAGAACCTGTTTTCGATGTACACTCGGTCTGGTTTAGCCTCTGAGCAACCCAGAATTCCTCGACCGCTTTTGCTCGGCAGTTTCTTGTTTTTGTGAGAAGGTTAACAGTCAAGTCCACAAGTCTCTGCCGGCAAGATCAATAAAGTTACGTGTCGCGCCCTTGAACAATAACCATCCCCTTGATAGTTGCACCGAGTGGGACTCTTAAGGAGCTGACTTCCCCTTATTTACACTTGCGCAGGGCACCGTGTGTCCATGGGCTCGCAATACCGCGAGCGTATCTACTACAAGGATCGTGTTGGGCTCACTCGAGGCCCTGCCAGCCACCAGGACCTGAGGTTGGCCTACGCGTCGGGCCTGATCGACCGTGACACGTTTGTGTGGGCAGGAGAGATGGACGAGTGGGTGCCGCTCGCGTGCGTGTACGGCCTCGACGGACTAGTCGTCACGCCCATGTGTAAGTGCAATACACTGCTTGTGTAAATGCCTCTTTGCCGTTTTTATTTGAGTGCATCCAATTGCAGTCTGCATCCTTTTGAAGGCTATTTGGCTCCGCTGTTGTGAGTTGACTTCCGCTACTTTTCATTTTCGAGCAGCAACGTGCGAACATGTTGTATCTTGAAGGCGTCTGCTTTGCTTCGTGTGGTTTTGTTATTGCTGCGATTCACATCTTTCAGCAGCAGTGCACCCGAAGCCCTTCATTTATCTCCTGCCTTTGGTTGTACAAGCATACTGTATCCTCTTCTGCATTTGCTTTTCAGAGCACTTTGTGGGCAACTTTGAAATGCTTGTCCTTCGTCCATAAAATTGCCCAACCCTTACCCGCTTTTGATAATCCCCACGCAGCTGTCGGCACGCGCGCGATCACGCTCGGCATCCTGAGCGCGCGCCACTCCGTCAAGAAGATTGCCAACAAGCAATGGGGGGCCATCAAAGTGCCCCCCATCGCCAACTGGAAGCTGGACCCCTTCGCGGGCGCGGGCCGCGACCGGGAAGAGCCCGTCCAAAAAACGAAGGAGAACAAGGGCCAGTTTGAGGCGGACCATGAGGCGTACGAGGACGACGTGGCGCGGGCAGGGACGGTGGACTTTCTCGAGAAGCGGGTGAGTGGACGAAATTCTTTTGGTAATAATCATTATATGTATGTTCTTCTCGGGCTCTATGTTTGGGTTGTTTGAGAACGATGTAGAGCGGGCAGGGACGGTGGACTATCTCGAGAAGCGAAGCGAAGCGTGAGACTTTGAACCTTTCAAAATGACGACTTCTGATTCATCTTAAAGCCACTCGACCACGCTTCGGGCCCGAGTCAACGCCCCAAGAAGTTGGACGAGTGACATCAGCACAAAGTTACTTTCCCTCTTAACCCACATTCAGTCAAGTCAAACAGGCATTCAATACAACGAGTTCTGACTGACCCAATTTTTAACGCCTACCAGGCGTCCGGCCGGAGCGGGCGGCCCGAGAAGCTGGACGCCATCGACCAGGATCCGGACCCGGACGCGCGGTCCAAGGCCGAGATTCGGACGCCCAAAGAACGCGCCAAGGATTTGGAGCACAAGATCCTGGCGCCGCGGCTGGCGAAGCAGCTGTCGCCGGACGAGTTCGATGAGCAGATGGAGGAGCGCGACAAGAAGGACAAGCTGGAGCACTTCCTCAAGACCGTCACGCGCAAGGACGTCCTCGAGGTGCGGGAATTTTGCAAAGTTGCGAAGCCTGGGGTGTCAGATTTTCAAGACTCTGCTGTTTGACATGTCAGGGACGTCGTTGAGGTGGGTAAATCGAGGGGTTGAGGACTGTAGGGTTAGAAATGGTGTTGCGTGGAGCAGTGAGAAGCGCGCTAAGAAGGACAAGCTGGAATATTTCCTCAAGACCGTCATGCGCAAGGACGTGCTCGAGGTGGGGCAGCTATTGCCTTTGAATTTGTGAAGTTGTAGATTCAAGAGGTTCAGGGGGCTGAAGATGTCACGAGTCTACGGAGCTGCGTCATAAGAAGGAAAAGGCCGGTGCTGGCCTCAAGCCACAACCCAAATCAAGTAATTTATGCAGAACCGGTCTTCTTCCAAGGGCCGCCTGATGTCGGAAGGCGTGGACGTGATCGGCGAGTACCACGAGGTGGCAGTAATCGCCTTTGCCGCAAGAAAGATCTTCGCTCTAAGACTCTATCCCGACCCGTTAAGGCACCCAATCGTGGCTCCGTACCCGCCTCTAGCTTATTCTCGAACACTGTTCTGCAAGGCAACCGTTTTTCAGTAACCTTATTTGTAACCTGCTGTAAATGCTGGTTTGCAGGGCCGCCCGATGCCGGAGGGTGTGGATGTGATCAGCGATTACAACGAGGTGGCAGTGATCGACCGGCCGGCGCCGGGCAGCCAGGAGGAGAAGGAGATCTGGGACGACATCCAGGCGCGCGACGACGAAGACCGCGTGGTCACGGGGCCCTGGCACGAGGTGTTCGAGCGGGGGCAGGACGAGCGGGACAAGCACGCGGTGCCAGGTAAGGGGTTTGGGATTTACTTTTTAGTCTGCAGTGGTTTTGTTGATTTGATTCAAAATTGATGATACTTGAAACCGGTTTTCGCTCTCGGCTGATGACATGAGGTGTTCGAGCGGGGGCAGGACGAGCGCGACAAGCACGCGGTGCCAGGTAAGAAGGGGGTAACTGTCAGGATACAGTGGATGTCCCGAGTTATGCTAGGAGTTCTTCAGCTTATGTGCTCAGATGCCAGTGAATGCAGTGGAGGGCTCTGCCAATCTGCCAACGGCTGACTCACTTCTGCTGGCTTCTGTCACCCGGTTGCAACAGATTGTTTCAGCTCTGCTTGCACCACCCAAGTTATGAAAAATCCCTGAAATACGTAGAAAGCTCTACGTGTGACCAAGTTGGTCCTCCACCTCTTGTTGTACCTTCACAGAACGACATCCGTCGAAAGTCTGTCATCAGCGTGCTTTAATCACAACCGAATGCAACTTCCGAAGTTTGGCGGCATCCAAACGGTTTCCTCAGTTCTCCCTAACCCTGTCCCGCAGAGGGCATCCGCCACAAGCCGCGCGACGTGAACGAGCAGTGGCGCTTCAACCTGCCCAAGATCGACCCGCGCCTGAAGGTGCCCCTTTTGGAGGCGATCCAGAAACGGGTTATTAAGGAGGTTAAGGAGGCGTTCGCGCCCGAAGTCGAAACGCCGCCCGAAGAGCAGACGTGCCGCTTCCCTGACTTCCCCTGGACCAACGGCAGCGGGGGGCTGCCCTACGACGGGCTGTTCGATCTTACGCGCCCCAGGCAAGTCTGCTGACGTTATTGGTTTGACCTTGGCGCGGGTTGGCCCTGCCTGAATGCCCGACCTTGAGAAATACAGAGCACAGCCCTGGCCGAAGTTTAAGGACGTAGTGTAGGAGGTGAAAGCATGCACTGGGATTTTACGGAAAGATTCAAAGCCTGGTTTCTGGTGGAATGTCTGCCAACGGTAGTTGGCTCTCAAGCACATACGGACCGATATATTGGATCCGTCCAAGCGTACTGGTAGCGACAAAGACATGGAAGGAGTTTGCGAGGTTGGTCAAGTGCAGAAGAGGGCTCGCACCGGATATTGGGGGTGCCGTCACACGAAGAGGTGTCCAAAGAACCACGCCCGTTTAGGAGCGTAACGGCTGTTCACCTTGTCATCCATCAGTCAAGGTGGCTGCTTGCCACTGCACCCATTTCAAGAGAAATGCAAACCACTTCTCACGGGAGTTGATTGTTTTCGTGGGTTGCTGCGCAGGGGCAAGCGCATGCCAGGCGCGATTCAAGACGCAACGCGCCAGGGCGGCTTCGCCGTTTTCATTCCGGCCCTCACCATCGTTAATGTATCTCGCGAAACGCCAATCAACGTAAGAAATGATGGCTGATTTGACTCAAACTTTGATACGCAGGGGCAAGCGCATGCCCGGCGCAATTCAGGACGCCGCGCGCCAGGGCGGCATCGCCGACCGCAACCTAGCCATATAATTGCAGAACAACTTTTCAACAACGGCTGACTTTATTTGTGGATGCAACGCAGGGGCAAGCGCATGCCCGGCGCGATCCAGGACGCCGCGCGCCTGGGCGGCATCGCCGACCGCGACATGGCGCTCATGGAGTCGTGGTACATCAACATGCTCCACCCGCTGGACGATCCCGACCTGCACGCGCAGTGGCACGGCCGCTTCAAGCGCATCAAGGAGGAGCGCTTCATGGAGAAGATGCTGGCGGGGCCGTGGCGCGACCCGACGCGCGCGCTGCGCTGGTTCCCCGAGGAGGACTGGGACGACCCGTACAAAGACCACGAGTTTGTGAGTGGCGTTCCAAGCAATCTAGCGTCGGCCCGCTCTAGAGCCCTTACGTTGTTTGCTTACACGGCCTTTGGTGGGGTTGAGGTCCCGAAAAAAGACGCCTCCAGGCTTTCCCGGCCGATGATTGGGGTCAAAGATACTCTGTATCCATTTTCAAAACGATTCCTTTCTTGGTGCAGCCCTCACTCTCATGATTTGTGTCGCGTGCTTAGCTCTCCCACCGGTCGCCCTTCCTGAAGTCCTCCTCAGCTCTGTCGCACTAAGCGAACAGATTCTCATACGTTTCTGATACCTCTGCCTTCTTCTCCGGCAGTCGATTAGCAACAAAGCGTCCGGAGACTCCCATTTTTCTGCACCGCTTTGTAGTGCCTCTACTATAGTAACGGCATGTCGCAACCCTCCCCTAATGCCACTGTAGGCCGTAGTTCGGCGCACTCAAGACCCCTTGCGCTTCTCGCAGATCAAGCGGTCCGTGTGAAATTTCTACCCATTTCTAATCTATTGATATTCCCTGATCTTCTCTTCTCTCAATGTCAATCAGCGATTAGCCTGCTTCTTCTTGTTTCCGGCCGTCAACCAGCGCAAGGGCGTCGGACGCTACCCTTACAACGAGCCAGACGAGTATTAGTACTTATGTCTCCCATCGTGCAGTCTTCCTAGCAGTCTTTCGCTTCCTCCCAAGAGGTTCCTTAACGATTCGAATCCGGTTGTCTTCAATGCAGGCCGTCGACCAGCGCAAGGGTGTCGGGCGCTACCCGTACATCAAGCCGTACGAGTACCAGTCTGCGCCGATGCCCCTCGAGTTGGACGGATTCGGGCGCCAGTTCGCCCCGGGGCTTAAGAGCCTGGACGATCTCCCGCCCGATGACCCGACCCACGTGCCGTACGATGGGAAACTGGACAGGTCGCCAATCGCCGACTGGGAGCGGCCCGAGGGCTTCGGTGAGGCTTCGCAGCTTGTGTCGCTTGAATTTTTGGGTCTGGTTCCGTCTGGTTCGAATGGCTGGCCGGCAGTTAGGATGTCGCTGTTCGGCTTATCAGGATTTTACGACATTGTCAAAGCCACGTGCCTTTCATTGGCAAACTGGACAGGTCGCTCATCGAGGAACGGCCCGAGGGCTTTGGTGAGGTTTCGCAGCTTGGGCGTTTTCAAAGCGCGGGTTTCTTGGCTGATCTTTTGAGAGTGGCAGGGTGTCAGGCTTTGGGTCTGTCTGTTTCCCAACAACTAAAACTTCCTGTCACACCCTCTGTGTATGTGCACGTGCATATCAATCCTAGAACGATGTTAGTCTTCAATTTTGACCCGGCCCGGATTGCCAAGCTCCAAGTTATGAGGCTCGACATTCAACCGAGTGCGTCTCTTTCCTCGAGCATGTTCACAGTCGTTGGGTGGCACAAGCCGAGCCGCAACTTGTCTTCGGCTTTCAGGGTTCGTTTAAGGATCTGAACGCCTTAATTTGGACAACCGACGATTGCCGGCTTTTCCCTCTAGGCGATTTTACATTCTCCAAGGAGCGTAAGCTGAGCTGCAACTTTCACTTTTAGGTTCAAACGCTTCATCTTAGATGGACGACTAATCCTTTGCCGCTCTCCCCTGCAGGCATGTTCACATTCCCCGGTTGGCGCAAGCTGAGCCGCGACATGTCCCCGCACAAGGTGGAGAACGAGGAGGAGCTGCGCGCGGAGCGTAAGAAGCTAGAGAAGGAGTTCAAGGACCTCGAGAAGAAGGAACTAGATGTGGTCAACAAGTACGTGGAGGCCAACAAGGCGATTCGGAGCCAGCCGGGCTTCTGGGAGGAGAAGGCGGACTCCATGTGGTTCCGGAACGACTCCATGGACGAGCTGATGCGGGTGAGGGATCCCCCGCAGTAACTCGGCAGAGAGATTCGCTTTTTGGGCTTGTGTGGGTTTCTGTCCTGGTGGTTGAGCTCGCAGTTTTTAAGTGTTCTGGGTGTGAAAGTCTGGGATTTTGGCAAGTGGGTTAAGGGGTTTCAACTGTTCCATGTGGTTTTGGAACTCCACGGGCGAGGTGATGCGGGTAAGTGGCAGGATTGACGTCGAGCGACCCCCTACTGTCAGGTGACATCATGAGCATGACAAGTGAAGCCGCAGCGAAGTAGCGGGGGTTTGACATCTGTGGCTGGGAAACGTCGCAGTTTGCGTGTTCAGGGCCTCCGATGTGGAGTTTCGCACAAGGTTTACACTCTGGGGCTTTGAGGATGTGGGGTTTCAATGAAGGGTTGCAGACGGCGTAATTCGAGGATAGGCGGTTTAGGAGACTTTGAAAGTTGCGCTTGAAATCAAAGAGTGTTATGACCGTTTTGGTTCATGAGTCCTGGGTTCAAAGGTTCAAGGCTGCGGATACCACGAGCTCCGACTGGAAGCTGCTTTGCTACTGTGGGCCTGCCGCGAGGTTCGTGTAGGTAGCGACGAACTACCGTCCTGCCCGCTTGGGAAGTCCTCATCGGAAGCTATGTAATTGCGCGAATTCTCTGCAGTACCGCTTGGAAGATTAAGGGACTTCGAAGTTGGAATCCGAGATCTGGAGCCTTGCTTCTCCGACAACCAAAGCAGGTCCAAATTAGACATACAAAATCCTCGCCTTGAGACTGATGTCCTTGTATCTCATCGATATCCTCCTCAATGCGCAGAACATCAAGTGGCGCTTCAACAATCGGGAGAAGATCGACAAGGTGCTGTCGGCGACGAGCAAGCAGAAGATGGTGGCGGAGCAGGCCAAGCGGCGCGCCAAGATGGAGGTCCTCAGCAGGGCCAAGGTGTCCGCCGCCAAGAAACTAGAGACGGACCGGCGCGCGCTCGAGATCGCGGACGAGGACGAGGCCGAGGAGGATTAGTTGAGAACAGGGCCCATTTTAGGAAGGAGCGCAGAGTTACTTTGAGATGCAGAACCATGCGGGAGTATGAAGGGGTCTACGACAAGGTACTGCTCACAGTAAGCTCGTTCGAGGCTCATTTTTGACTTGAGGAGGTGGACACAATCAGGTATTGGTCCTTCGAGTGACGGTTGGAAGTGGAAGTTGGTAATGGACCATCAAAAATGTGTCCTCTGCAATCGTGGATTCGGGCCTGGCGCTGTTGGTTCAAAGTCAGCATGCGCAGGTTTATTCCGAAGTGAAGCCTGTGGCAAGTCAATTGCATTTCTGTGCCTTGGCCGGTCAACTGTGGATCGGTTGAAGCACGAATGACGATTAAAGGGCAGGGAGCCGTTGTCTTCATCGCGGCAACTTGCCAATTACACGGCACAAAGGCTTGCCGCTCACTTCAGAAAGAATTGGGTCAGTTCTACGTACATATGCATCGACAGCTCCCTCTAAGTATCTCGTAGCTACTTACTTCACATGAGCGCAATGGCCCGCTACTGTAGCTAACTGGAATGGTCAAGCTTCAATCTCAGTCCAAGGGTATTCTGCGAACAGATTCTTGTGGGCGGGCGATCGCCAGATTTATTTGACTCAAGTCGAGCAAGGATCGCCCGTGCACCTAAAATGATTGCTCTATTAACCTAATCCATGTGCATTTCAACTTGTCTTGCGTTGATCCGAACCGCGTCGGGTAGAACATAATATGTGCGCCCAATTCATGAGGATCTGATCAGGATCTCCACTTAGGTCATGATATGTGGAATTAAGCCTGCCCATGCATGCCACACTACTAGGCAAACCGTGTTGGCGCCGCCCCGGTTCGATTCAAATTATGATTGATTGATGATTGAACTCGATCATCAATCATCAATTTATATAATATAATTCCGATCAATTAACTCTAATGTTTCTAGCTTGAAGCAGTGGGTACCATGCAGCTTCGGCGGCGCATAGTGCGGAGCCTGTCTGCCCGCTTCCGTCATGCGAATTGTCGAGATACAAATTGCACATGACTTATGTACAGGTGTTGAGTTCAGGCCTGACGTGTACAATATCATGTCTATTCAATCTATAGAAATGCGGATCACTGAGGTTCATGTCATTCATTTGATTGAGTCAATGATCGACACATCCGGTTCCCGCTTTGTCCAATGTCTTGTACGCCGCCAAGCATGTCCACGGAAAAGCTCGTCCAAGGACACCAAGTTCGGAAAATCAGTATCGCGCACGCCAGCAAACTCTTAAACAAAATGTGAAGCTAGCTTTTACTTGAAGCTCGCATGTTAAGGGGCGTACGTGTTGTAGGCCTCGAGTTGGAAGTCCGACGAGTTGCTCATACCTAGCGCGGCACAAGCTCGGATGTGACAATTGCTACGCATTGAACTCAGAACTTCGGATGCAATGAGTCACCCTCGATCGGATGTCGTCCAACGTTCATGCATTGTATCATATGACGAGCTGGTTCACCGTTTGCAAGTATTTACCATTCAGAACTGAACACAGCGTACCCAATTGCTCCGTACTTCCAGATATATCATAGTCTGTTTCCTTCTTCTGCATTTGATAGACGCTCTTTCAATCGGCCCTGTATCCGACGAGACAGTCTCTCAAAAACAAAACAATAGTCCGACCACCAAACAAGCACGAGTTCCAGTCAGATCACGTATCGTTCACGGCAGTCCGCTCTTCGTCGTTCCTAAGAAGCCGGCTTACGGGTCGCGCCCGCTTGGCAGTGAACCTTGTGAGTTGGCCAGTGTAGCTTCTGGTGATCTTTGCTGCAGAGATAGATTTGCACCTCAATTGCTGAAGCTTGCAGAGGAAAAAGGCAAGATACTCACAAGATACGCAAAGCAAAGTCAGGAGGTATCTCTGAGTAGAATTACCGCGTGCCAAGCGAATGCGTCAAAAACATTCGAGAACAAGGATTATCAACACGGGATGAACATTATGCCTCAGCAGGGGCAGGAGCACAGGGCGAGAAGTATGGCGTGAGAGAAAACGCGTCTAGCTCACTCATCAGGCGCATCTTCTCCTTGAACTACCTTTGGGGATAGCTTAAGGCTCGAAGCGGCGGAGGATCAGCAGGGTTTCTATGATCCGATTACAGGCATTTATGCAAAACCTTGCCCTGTGCTTGACAGTTGCATTTAAAACCTACAGAGGCCGCTTGCGTGCGGAAAACTGAATTCTCCTTGCCACACTGACGCCGCGAATGCTCAACATATGAGCGAAGCCTCCCCGATTCATCTCTGAAAACTTACCTGCAGTAACGTGATACTTGACAGATCGCGCACTTGCCAAACTTCTTCCCAATCACGGGCTCAGGGCCTGCCTTGCACAGCTTCCACGAGCAAACCACCGGAGTTCCAACTGCTTCGTGTCCAACACCTGTTTCCGCTCTGACCTTCCACTGCTCAGGGCAGCGCGGTTGCGTCATCATCGTCACCGGGTACTTTCGCAGCTTCGCTTCAATGTGTCGCCAAGGCTTGAAGGGCAGCTCTGAACAGTTGATCTTCTGCTTGTGGGGCTTGAAACCTGAGAGTGCATTGTGCACGCGCATCCTTTCTGCAGTGGCCTCCATCTCGAGTAAGTAGAGAAGGAGTGCAGTGCATCGCACGAACGGAGAGCCAATCCGTTTTGATTCCTCTAGGGGCGAGGCTTCGTAGATTGCTGCAATCAGTTTGAGGAGGCCCCTCTCTAATGCCCAGAGCTGGCTGTCGGCGGCGAACGCAAGCGACGTCACCAATCGAGTCATCCAAGCACGGACACCGAATGAATCTTCAGCAGGTAGCTTATTGAGGAAGTCCTGTGAAAGGAGAGGTCCAAGGTAGTCGAAAAGGCTTTGCTGCTCTGCAACTTCCCGCATCGCTTCTCGGAAGGCTTCTGAACCCCGTGCAAAGTTGGCCACAATTTGCAGAGGGGCCGTCATCATCACTCGAAAATTGAGCTCTTCATATGTCTCTTCGCCTTTCTGAAGCAAGCGCGCTTCTTCGACGAACAAACCGGACAATTCGCGGTAGATCTTGCAAGCAGCCTGTCTTTCTTTTGCTCCTATTGCAGACAACCTCAAAGTTCTTTCAACAAAAACCTTGCTGGAAGAGAGATAGGCAAGCGCCGTACCGTAGACAACCATAAACTTAAATGCTGTGAAGTCATCCTGGCGTGGAACCTGCCCGAGCGTGCCGATCCAAAGTTGATTCAAGACTACGCCCCCATGGTATGCTGTAATCTCTTGAGCAATCCTCGCAAATCCAAGCTTCTTTCCTTCGCCCTCATTCATGACGAAGAAGCTTTGTAGAATCTCAACGCCTCTGTTGATTTCTTCAGGGACCTCCGAGCTCAGCAAGACCGCGCATCTCTTGATCAACTGATCGAAGTCCTCGTCCATTTTGCTGTCCCACCGCCAGGCGCTATGAGAACTGTGGTGCAGAGTCTCTGCCGCTCGGAATCTGAGGCCGCTTCTCTGGTATGTGTAAGAAGCTACAGCAGATTCTGGGCTTCCAAATCAGCAACCTTCTGCAGCTTCGCTCATTGGATCATGTGTTCTTGCACTGCGCCTTACTCGCCTGAAGAATGATAATCCTTATTTGCGGCATGCTTCAAACGCTGGAGCAGCCAAATGTCAGCATTGCATGGGAGTCTGACTCTTCGAAAGTGGTCGCTAGCGCTTGCGTCCCCCGGAACTTATAACAGTTTCTTCAAATCGGAGGGTTCGACCTCTTTAAGCTGTCTTTTGAGTTTGAAAAATCCGAGGTGGTTCAAACAGATACAAATTACATGCAATATAGTTGATTTTCATTCAAATCAAAGGAGGCAATCCAACACTTCAGGCCTCGATCTGAATGTCCTGCGCAGTATGGTGATGTCATCAGAGGCCTCGAAATTGGCGATTCAACAATTCCAGCTCCGATTGTCGCGCCAAATTATTTGACACCAGCTACGCGCAACAATCAGGCGCAGTAGCTAAGTTTCATCAGGGTCTGCGCACAACATATGAATGTGTCATGAAGAACTCGTACAGCAGCTCTAGATTCTCGAAGATCCTCGAATTGAAGTACGTCCACTGCACTGGTCAGCCATCAATGTGCAGCGTCATGCATGCCTTGACTATGGTTACATGCCTCATGTTACCAAGTCAATAACAACCTTCAGGCTTGCGTCGCCCAATTCTGGTAGGGTCCTCTGGAGCAGACGTGTTCCACTTCGATGTCTACAGCCTTCTCGTTCGTCAGAGATCTAGGAATATGCTTCATCCAGACTCCAAACAGTGTGTACATGTTGCTTTTTGCTGCGTGTATACGCAACGCTGAATTTCGCAGGGTGAAATGCTGAGGAGAAGCTGTGCTTCAGGCCTTTATTATATGGGCGCCTTGGTGCCATGCAGCGCAGGCAACTTTTCTGGTTGGAGCGAGCGGCCAAGGCGACCTCATAGCGCCTTTGACCAAGTTCAAAATTTTGCGAAGACGTTGCATGCGCTCACGCGCTATAGACGTGAGTCCTGATACCTGGACTTCTGAGCGCGCGCATGCACCTAAAAACCCCCTCTCAGCAGCAGCAGCGGGTGCAAGAAGAGCGGCAACATCTGCTAGCTAGAGGTTCGGCCGCTCAACAGCATAGAAGATGGAAGACGATCTTGACCAGATTGTGCACAAGTGTGTCGCCATGCTGATGTCAAATGACCCAGAGCTGATCATGCAAAGCGCTGAGTTACTGCAGGCCTTGATGAAGGAGAGGGAAAGTATGGAGAAAGTCGCCAGAGTCGTTCAGGAGATTGCAGCATACCGTGGTGGCGCTGTTTTGAACTTGATCTGGATGGGGACATTAGGAAGAAATCCCAGCAACACAGGCGGGGACAAAGCATGCGAATACTTCATCGTCTGCACCGCAGCATTTCAGGTCTTCACATCAAGCAAGGCAGTCGTGGAGCGCTACTTGACAACAATAGGGGCAAACGAGAGGGAGAGTGCTCGGGCAATCTACGAGGCACTCTCTTCCCGGCCTTTGAGCACTGCGCAGGCTTTCAGCCGAGGAAAGAAGACCCTGCTGATTGAATCCTTCATTATCAGGCCTTTAGACTGCCTGGCAAACTTTGCAAAGGGCTCCAAGGTCTTCCGTGATGTAATCAAGGACTTTGCAGAACAGCGTTCCATCTTCGATACCTTCGGGACATTTTTGTCGGCTGAATTTCTGGGCGACCTAAGGGCTGAAGATCAGTGGTCAGTGCGGGTCGCCCTAACCAGTCTTGCGGAAGCGCTTGCATTTTCCAATGACAGCCAGCTCTGGGCGCTAGACAAGGGCCTGCTTAAGCTGATCTCAGCAATTTACGAACACTCACCCTTGGAGGATCTGAAAAACAAGTCGAAGCCTGCTCTCAAGCACAAGGCCATCCCGGTGATGCGCTGCACTGCGGTTCTCATGTACTTGCTGGAGAGAGAGTCCACGCTAGAGAAGCTGCGTGCTCACAACGCCCTTGCAGGCTTCAAGCCCCACAGGCGCAAGATCGATGCTGCAAGCATGAATTGCTATAAGTCCCATGGTGGAAAGGTCAACGGCGCTACAATTCTCGAAGGACGATACTGGGGTTACATGGAAGCTAAGTTGCAAGGCGTGCCGGTGACTCTGGCCCTGGGGAACGAAAGGATTCCCCCGGGGTACTTGAGGAAACAAATGCGGGGCAAAGATGGAGGCATGGACGTCCAGGTGGTGTGCTCATGGAAACTGTGCACGGCAGGCGAAGAGCAGATTGGTCGGAAATTTGGCAAGTGCAGCGTTTGCCAAGTCGCCCGCTACTGCAGGTAAGAAGTCAGTCGCCATGGACGAAGTTGCCATGATGACTTTCAAAGGAATGCTTAAAAGGGCGCCACTTCTCTGGGTTTTCAATTCGATACAATGAACGGCGAACAAACGTGAGGAGATACTCAGCATAAGTTGTCAAAGTCAGAAGGCTAAGCAGATTGTCCAGAGTGGTTTTACGTTTTTGCGAAAGCTGTCCATTGAGGTTGTTCGATGCGATTCAAAGCGACAGCCAAGGTCATATTTGTGGCAGTAAAGCGATCGACAGTCTTATCAAAGGCAAAAAACCACTGGTCAGCTTTCGATCCGATCTGAAGCGATCTAAAGCGACAGCCAAGGTTACTTTTGTGGCAGTCCCTTGTTGATCCTTGTTGATCCCTTGTTCCAGGTCGTCGAGTTTTATTCCTCGTCCATAATCTAGGAGCGAGTGACATCACTCTGATCATATCACGGCCTTCTTATTGAATCGATATGATCTTTCAGATTACTTCCACGTAACCTACGAGACATTTTTCGAATCGGGTTTGCCAAGCTGACTGCGCCTGCTTCCTTGCAGCAAGGAGCATCAAAGCCTGCACTGGCGGACCCACAAAGTTCACTGTCGGGCCAAGGATTCTGGCGGGTCCGTAGGGACGTCTGAAAGGGAAAGGCCTTCAGAAGGGGAGCAATGAGTCATGTAATCCACGGACATGGGTAGTAGGTAGCGCAGTCACTTTGTCCAAGTTTTATTGCGCCATGGTTTAGATGCCGGTCCGTTCCAAGAAAGGACTCCTGCCGATTGGTGAAAGTCCGGTCAGAACCGCGGCATTACATCTGATCGAGGAATTCATTCAACATGACGTTTAAAATCTTGCGAGGAATGTCTGAGCAATTTCCAATGGACGGATGGACGAATCGTCTACGCTAAGTATAAGCGGCTGGATAGACCATGCGAAAGCGCGGCAGGACAAGTCGAGGTGGTATCCCGCCATTTCTTTACTTGGTATTTTGAATTGTAGTGGCTCAGAATAGATGACAAGTGGTTCTCAAACCCTCGGAAACTTAACCGGCCAAGTGTAGGATCCTATCTGCACCGTCCTGAACTCACTAACACGCTGGACGGGCGCTATGCAACCCGTGGTCTCAAGCTCCTGCGACTCTTCCGGTTGATTGCCCTCAATTTCAACGGCGATGTCTTGAAGAAAACAGTTGCACCGTCTTACACGTACAATATGAGCGGCACAGCTTCTCAACGGCCCATACCCATGTAGCATCCCCCTATGACCCACGGAATCAGCTTGCTGAAAAGTACTCAAACCTGCATGAAGGTGTGTAGCATGGAATCACTGATCGCCCTTGTTTATCATATCACCTGGCCTTCGATGAGCCCATGCAAGAATTCAGGCCCATCACTGTAAACGGATTCTCCTGATTAAGATGCGGCTGCCAAGCCTGTAATTGGAGGCGTGTTGAGTCCATCTTTTTCAAGTCGGCTTTTTCAAGCCTTTTCATTTTGCTAGACTGCTATTCGACCCAATCCAATCGTGACTCAAATCGCTGAATCTTCTTATCTCCTCAGCTCGAAGGCGACTTTAGTCCCCATTTAGTCATGCTCGCAGCTAGCTCACGTTTGTATTATTGTATATATGTCCGTTCAAGGATGTCGCCTGGCAACGCAGATGGTCATATTCAAAGATCTAGCTTCGTCAACACATCGATAACGTCAGTCAATTATGATTCACAGCAAACGGTGCTGAACACGATGCTTTTTACTACCGTCAGGCATGCTACTCACAATGGCGAGCTGATGCTACTGCGGCCGCGGTACTGAATTAGAGGTCGCAATGGCGCGGATCACGGCCGGCCGGCCGCCTAGCTAGGCTGGCCCGTAGATGAGCAAGGGTTTATGGTTTTCCAAAAGTCAGGGTTTTACTGTTGATGTTGATCATGCACAGGAATTTCTCTTGAATGAAAGTTTCATTGCACCTGATCTTAGCCTTAGGCTTAGGATCCTAGCTGCTCAAGGCGCTTTTAAAATCCTTGAGTCTGGACAAAGATGCTGCTGATACGTGCAAGATTATCTTATGTCCTCAAGGCGAGCTCAGCATTTCGCAATCTGGCATCCAGCAAGTTGAAAGAGCCTGGTTATTGCCTCTGATTGTGATTTCTCTATCCCCGGACTTCTTGTAGCGCCAGAAGATTCAGACAACCACCAAGGGGATTGGAGTGGTGTCTGTTCATAGTGGGCACCAACAGTCGGTCTGTGCGCTTCGAAAGCATATCTCAAACTGCATCTCGTACTGCTGGCGATTAGAAGGTTTCTCTGAGGCAATTCGCGGTGGTTTCTTTTAGTTTGCGTCTGCAACACAACTATGTCGAATGTGTATGTCGTAGAGCCACCAACGAAAGGGAAGGTGGTGTTCACAACCACCTACGGCGACATTGACATCGAGCTATGGGCGAAAGAAGCGCCAAAGACGGTGAGCTTGCGATCCTTCACTGTATCTCCCCACCACTACTCCTTGGTCCAACATATCCTGCAAGAAGAGAAGGATGTTCCAAAGTCTGCGGCCCTCCCTCTGCTGCCCATAGCAAATTTTGCACCACCCCCACCGCTGCTGAAGGCAGTGGTCATCAATTCTTATGCAGTTGCTCTTGTTCAACAGCTTTTGCGGCCCACTCGCACGTCCGAGCTAGTACCATTCAGTCAGCCCTCCTCAGGCGCTTCCTTTTCACAGAAAGAAAGTCCATCTTTCTGAGTTACTCTGGCTTGTCAAATGCCATTGTTGATCTAGATGATTTCTATTGTGTCCACTGCACACGCAGAGAAATATCGCGGTTTTTATTGCAGGTACGCAACTTCGTGCAACTGTGCCTGGAGGGTTACTATAATGGCACTGCTTTCCACCGGGTCATCAAGGACTTCATGATTCAGGCTGGGGATCCTACCGGCACTGGAGAAGGTGCGCAACATATTCAGAACTTAGCTAACTCAGCAAGTCTTTCAGATTGGGGCATATTGCTGCAGCATCTGTCTTGTTGTGATAGCAAGCTGCTTCACAAATCTTAACATCATTGATCGTTGTGTCAGCAAGCCTATGCTGCCTGACTCGTGCTAGCAGCTCTGATTTGCTTTCGATTTCCCAGAGCTGTGTCCCTGCCCAAACCTCAAGGCGAGGCTAAACCTTCTTTTTAACAATTCAACCTTGGTAGCATCAACCTCAATTAGGTGAGGTGGAGTGGACGGGGAAGCAAAAAGACTCTCATTGAGCTGGTTGTAGAAAAGCGAGAACCAGAATCTGCTTTCTTACCTTCCAGAGTGATAGAAGGTGAAAGGGTATTTGAATGCTGGCAAACGTTCATTAGCAGGGGGCGCGTCCACCTACGGGCCCTACTTTTCTCATATGCAAAGTTAAAATAGTGATTGAAAGATATTGGGTCCCAGTGGGTGTGTCTCTGCAGGGGGCGAGTCCATCTGGGAAAATTACTCTCCGGTCTTTCAGAGTCGAGAAGGTAGCTGTGATGATAACGAAAACTCAGTGAACGTCTGTTGGCAGGGGGTGAGTCTATCTACGGGGGCTACTTCCCTGACGAGTTCCACTCCCGCCTGCGCTTCAAGCACCGGGGCCTGGTGGCGAGCGCCAACGCCGGAACGCCTGACACCAACAACTCACAATTCTTTGTGACGCTCGACCGATGCGACTGGCTGGACAAGAAGAACACCATCTTTGGGAAGGTGAGGCAGGAAGGTTGATTGTCCCATTTGATAGGACCGAAAAAGCAGAACTCCGAAGCCTGGGGTGGTCTATTTGAGGAGCCTACTTAATTGGATGCGCAGATGGAGGGTGTATATTTGTCTTACGGCAGACGTGAGGTGTATGCTACCTTTGTTTGTAAAAATACAATACGCCCCCACTCACCATTGAGATGTGCGGGCAGATTTGGAAGAGGACTTCGCGATTATACCTTCTGCACCGTACAGGCGCGACTTTACAACATTCTTTCACATGGACATAGACCAGTACACAATAGTATTGCCTTCGTAGGACACGAGGAGGCAATATTATTGTCACACCAAAACATATTTGCAGCGCAAGGTAGCTTAAATCTGATGTGATCCGTGGTCATCTGATCTTCTCTATAATTGGACGTTTCAGGTGACTGGTGAGACAATCTACAACGTACTGAAGATTGGCGGTCTGGAGGTGGATGCAAACGACCGCCCCATCGAGCCGCCCAAGATCATCTCAACGGAGGCAAGAGTCCTTGCTCTGCGAATCGCAAGCCGAGACTTTGAAGAGTCCTTTCTCCTTAATTCATCGTACTTTGAAGCTTTCGTTCTTGTGGCAAAACGACCGTCATCCTCTGTGCCGATGGGCGACAGCAACATTGTGCATCCTTCGATTTCGTGTCAAGCCCCACTTGATAATACTAGTTTGTGCTCCATCTCGTCTGCTACATCCTACGGATTCGGTTGCGGTCGCTGCCAAAACGGCTTGATAACCCTCAGCTTCTGAACTCAATCAAGAGAAGCCCATTTTACTGCAAGTTTTTCCTTCCTCACGGTTTTCTGTCGACCATATCCAGGTACTTTGGAACCCGTTCGACGATCTCGTACCTCGGCCGGAGAAGCTAGCGGCCGCAAAGGCCGCGCAGGAGGAGCCGCAAAAGAAGCCTCGAAAGAAGGAGAAAAAGTGAGCCCCATCTCTTATACCTCAAAGCTTTAGCGATCAGAAGTACGCTACACTAGTTGCGAAAACGGCCGGTCCGCAGAAGGATTCTCGTGAAGGAGCCCCGTCGCCACCTCCATCGTTCACATGTCGAGAGTTCGCAAGGAGCATATAGACTCTGGTGATATTGGTTGTGGATCTGCTCGGTCGCGAACGTGACTTCTCGCTGTCCTGTGAAGCTACAGAGGCATTTGTGGCATCGGTGGCACTCTCTGTTGTAGAATAAGCCCGGTTTGCCCGGCCTCTCACTTTCTTCTGTCCAAAACCCAAGCATGGACCGCCAGACGGAAAGAATCAGCTGCTGGCACTTGGAAGACTGACGCACCTTCTCTTACGTCCTCCCCTCTTCACCAAACCTACCTGCAACCCCCGCGTCCTTCGAAAGAAAAAACAAAAGTATAAATCTGTCCATGGAAATCGTGCAGGAGAGCAGAAAAAGGTCGAAATTGCCCTCCTTGCAGGAACCTCGCGCTCCTGTCTTTCGGTGAGGACGCAGCAGAGGAGGATGCGGTGCCGGCGGTCGTTCCCGTAAAGATCAAGAGCGCGCACGACATCCTGGACGAGAAGCGGCTCCTGAGAGAAGAAGCGGAGGGCGAAGAAGCTGAACTGGTGAGGAATTGCCACTTTCTTCGTTGGGTTGTATTTTGGAGCACAAATATCAAAGTCTAGAATACAATATGTAGCGGATCCCCAGCAGGGAGCGTCAGCAAGAGGCGCCTCAACGGTGCCTGTGGGGATAACTTCAAGATGCTCAGAGTGTCCGCAGATATGAAGGGGTGGACTTGCGTTGTCTCAGAGGCCGCAGCTAGAAACCGCCAGTGAAGACTGGTACTTCTTATGAGACTCCTCGATGCTTTTGTTTGGCATCGATGCTCGCAATGTCGTCGTTGTCGGAGAATAGGCCAGATCTTGTTCCCGAATTCCGCTCATCTTTCACCTTTGAGTTCCCCCGCGTTCCTTGCGTTCTTTTGAACCCCAGATTTTTCTCTTCTTCTCTCGAGAGGATTATCAGGGCCGCTGTGGACCTTATCTATGCCAAGTTGCTTTCACAGTCATCGCGTCGCTGATCCTAATTCCTTATACGTGGCTGATAGCGTATGGTTCGTCCATCCACAGGAGCCGGAGGAAGCTCAGCGGCGGCAGGCCCTCAAAAGCAGTGTCCGCCAGGCGCTGGGCGGCGCTTCGAAAGTCTCGAAGTCGAACGAGGACGAGGGGAACGAAGGCGAGACGGATCACGATTTCGATGCACGCATGCGGCGGCAGGTGCTGGACCGGAGACGGAAGATCGGGGTACCCGAGCCGGCGAAGAAGCCGGAACGGCCGAGTGAGTGTGGAAATTGTTGCTCAACAATGCGGGCCACAACAGATATGCTGTTTACGTATATGCACTTTGAGCTGGGCGTTTATGTTTTGTGGCACTTTCGTGATGTGTCGGCCATGTCTTGCTCACTGTGTCTGAAGTGGGTGTCGATCAGCGCTCCTGCAATGGTAATGGCTTCGCCTTCGTAAGCAGAGAGTCTCCAGAGAGATTGACCGTTCCGTGGCACCAGTTTTGTGCTGACGCAATTCTTGAGGCCGTCGCTGTGCTTCCTCTGGAGGTTGAAAGATGAGGAGGCACTCTCCCGCAATGGGGTTTACCTTCGCCCCCCTTTTACAGACTCGTTCTGCGTCGAATCCCCTAGATGGATTTGGATAGGTTTGATCTGACTGCAGTCTTGTTAAGTGCTGCAAGATGCAAGCTTTCTGCGGATACCTGTGGCGTAGCGCTCCTCATTGTCTGATCATCTGACGAGAGCTTTTACCATTGTTGCAGAAGTAGAAAGAAGGGACGACCCGTCACCCTCAGCAGACGCCAGGGAAGAAGAGTCGGATACGGATGGGTAAGCTTCGCCGACAAGATCTGCCGTTTGTATGCTCGACAGGGGCGTAAGCTCATAGCTTGACAGGGGCGTAAGCTCATAGCTTGACAGGGGCGAAAGCTCATAGCAGACCTATATGTATGCACGGCGACATCGAGGCAGTAAAACAGTAAAATCGGTCTCGGAGTCGCTGCAAGGAGCACCATCAGCTACGTCATCTGGTGCATTCAGGAGTGTTACCTAGAGCCTTCGGGCGCCAGTTCGGTGACGGAATTTGCGGCGGTCGTTTCGAGTCTAGCAAGCCTTTGCGGGGGCCATGAAAAACTGCGAGAACTAGAACTGGACTTTCCTTGGAGCAGGGACTCTGGGGATGACGGCCGGCGAAAGGTAGATCCGCTGAAGCTGCGGCGGCGGAAGGAGATGCTGGGGTCGGCGGCACGGGCGGAACTGGCGGAACAGCGGAACGAGGACCTGCAGATGCTGACGCCGCTCGAGCAACAGCGGGCCAAGTACAAGCAGAAAAAGCGGGCGATCGGGAACAGGGAGGCCGAGGTGGGTTTGGTGTTGGTTTTGCGCTTTATTAAGATCTGGTTTAGCGAATGAGCATGGCTTTGGTTCGAGAGAACTCCGCAAGTGGACGAGCAAGGCTTTTGGATCTGATGACCCGTTGAGTCAAGCAGGGCGGCTGAGGACAGGGAGGCCGAGGTAAGCGCAGTGTGGCCCTGATTCGTCTTGGCAGTCTTAACAGTGATGGCACCAGCGCTGTTGAAATTTGTGGAGTACAAGGAGGAGAAGCGGCGCGTTGGTAAACAGGGACGCCAAGGTGACAACTCCGGATTGTTGCCCTTCGTTCCAGTAGTGAACAGAAGGGAATGAATCGCAAACTTTCTTGTCCTGTGAAGAAGCAAGCGAATGTGAACCGGAAGGACGAGGGGGTGCAAAGAGAAAGTGCGCGTGCTTTCTGCGAGTCCCGTCTTATTGCGGAATCAGGGCGGTCGGACGTTGCTCTTTGCGGGCCGTCAGCGCAGGTGTTGCCTGCGGAAGGACGACTCGGTGGGTCATGAGTGGCAGAGGGAAGTCTTACAGAGCCGTAAGGCATCTTTGAGCCAGGCGGTGCCGCCTCTCGCCCTCTGAGCGGATAAATAATCTTGAATAATCCTTCTTAGCGCTTGAAGAAAAACGCCGACGTCACGCCCACGTCATTTTGCAGACACTCGCGAAGCTCGCCAAGTTTAAGGGCTTCCTCTCGGGGGCGGCCAAGGGAGCCCCGGGGGAGCCGCCTGGTAAGAAACTTGCGCTCGGGAGGGACGAGGAAGAGGACGAAGAGGACCCGGGGTGGCTCAACCATTCGCTCGAGTTTGCCCCAGACCCAAAGTCAAAGGTGAGCGTGGCGGTGTCCCCAGATCTACGTTCTTGGATGGTGCGCGCTTTGCTTAGCTAAGGAATTTTGCTTCTGTATTGGTTGCGCCTTTCTGCATGTGTGGGAGGCCGCTTCTGGTAAAACAGCCGTTCGGTAGCGGAAGGCATGCCGAGAAGCACCGAACTTTGGAACCCTCTGGAGTGACATTTTCCAAACAACAATGGAGCGGATTTTTTTTTCAATGGATCTTTGCTGTTGCGGTGCTTCTGTTGTATTCCATGCCTGTCCGGAGAAATTCCATCTGGCCTACTTGTTGGCCAGCACCGTAACCTGGATACGGGAAGATGGGCACATAGCCCTCCCGACCTTTGTGCTGCATAACGGGTGTTTGGGTAAACACTGAGCTATGGAAACGACAAGGGCGTGTCATCAAAGATGCTCACGGGCGCGCTTTCGTGTTGCAGGCGAAGGATAACATGGCCCGGAACGACGACCCCGACCAATACGCTGTGGTAGACCCTTTGTTGGCGAAAGGCAAGGACGCAAAGTTGAGCAAGTTGCAAGCGCAGATGAAGAAGCGAAGTCGAGAGTGGGGGAAGACGTCTGGCCTGAAAGGGTAAACTGAACTTGACCTATTTACGATCACCATGTTAAGGTCGATCGTCACTCTGGTGTTGTCGTCCGCACCGACATCCTAGACCCTGCGCACGA